TTAAATAATAATGTTAATAATTAAAATAATATAACTCTTTTTTACTTTTACTTAAGTCTTGGTCTCTAGTACTTTATACATCTCTGATTATCAGTGGATGTTCACTGCATCGATAAAAAAAACAAAAACAAAACTATAACGTTAACAATGACGAGGCAAAAATGAAATGACTAGAAGGCATAGCCGACTCGTGGTTCAAGCTACCCAACTTTGTCCTAAAGTAAGTAAAAATAGCTAATCAGGTCTGATAACACTAAATAGCCTAAAGTTGTATTTAGTAGCCTAGTGGGAAAGCTCTTGAAGGCTGTGAGTTTTTGGAGGTCAGACGAAGCTAAGGAAACTAGCTTATCATATGATGTCTAATACTGGATTGTCCATATAACTAACGTACAAATGTTAGATGAGGTCAGTCTAATTATCCAGGGATGTTCACTGCATCGATAACGCCAAACGATATGACGAGGCATAAAAAAACTAACTTAACGTTAGGTGACTAACGTTATACTTGTGACAAACGAACTATATGGACTCAGCTGTAGCAAATATGATTGATGAGCTTTAACTGGTTTATTTGATGTGTTATGATTTCGTTCTATGTTCCCTAGCAATAACAATTGACACATTTTTACACAAAACGACGTTTCTACATTTACATGACACAATTGGGAAACGATTAGCGATTTTCAGAGAGTAACGTTATGGGTAACGTTAGGTTCATTTACTTACCTTCGAGCAAGTGAAAATCAAGTTCAACGTCTTGTCGCTTAATGAAGGCCTAAACGTTTGGAGTCTGAAGTCAATAACCTCCTCTTCAAATTCACCTGCTACTACCAAATAATGTACTCTAATGTGGAAAGTATGTTTTAGTACACACATTAGTATGCAGGAGGTAATGGTTAGGATATATTTTAATAGACTATGAATCCACTTTGAGGAACACGCTCATATCCGCCGCCATTGCTAAAACAGTGTGGGCTCATTTGAGTTTGCGTCCACGTAACTTAGGCGTCATTAAGCAAAGCTTGCGTGCGTATTGTTTGATTAAAGTTAATAATGTTGTAAATCTAGTTCGGTTTTTATGTATTATTTATATTTTTGCTTTTATCTCATTGTGTTAATATTAAATGATAATAATTTAGTTTTATTTAGTTTTATTTAAATTTCAAATAACCAAGTATTTAAAAGTAAAAGATTTACAATTTTATCAATAACCAAGACAAACGGTTGTGCCGCATAAAATATTGTAAGAGCATTAAATTGATTTCAGGTCATTTATTTTGATTGATCACATTAGTATTCTGATTGGACGTCAATTAACTTAACCACAGCACATACATAAAATAAACAATGCTACTTCCACTGTTATGAACACCACTTTAATTTTAGTTATCTTATTTTGTAGGGTTCTGGTCAAAAAACGTCTTTAAGCAATGTAAGATCATGTTGAAACTTTCAATTTACTAATTTATTCTCTATTATCTGAAGATCAGTGGCCTACAAGTTATAAAAAAGATATAAAACATCATATAGCTATCCATTATTTATGTTTATTTGCACTATATTCATTATTTTGCTCCTTTTTTTCGGCTTAGTCCATTTATTAATCAGGGGTCGCCACAGTGGATGGAATTGCCAACTTATCCAGCATGTTTCATGCAGCAGATACCCTTTCAGCTGTAACCCATTACTGGGAAACACGCATGCACTCTCATTCACACACATACACCACAGACAATTTAGCTTACCTAATTCACCCATACCGAATGTCTTTGGAGAAAACCAGAACACCCGGAGGTCCACACAAACATGTGGAGAACATACAAACTCTACTTAGAAATGCCAACTGATCTAACCAAGGCTCGAACCAGCGACCTTCTTGCTGTGAGGCAACAGCAATACCCACTACGCCACCAAACCAATACAGCTATCTTAATATATTTAAATATATATTTCAAAGACATCAAAAGTCAATTGCCAAAGACAAATCTCGAGCTCATAGCAAGTCCTTTAAAGTTTGGCCACACTGAAAGTCAGTGCATAATTTACACACTGGGTGTGTCGAGTAAAGAATCATGGTGGAAGCAAATGAGTATTGATCATAAACCGTTGTAACTGTGAATGATGACTGTACAATTTAGTTTGTACCCAATTTATGTACCCTTGATGAGGAATAACGATAAAGCTTGCCAAAAAGCACAACTCATTTAGCTGCTTTATGAGGAGACAGGCTTGCACGACTTGAAAAGCAAACAAAATTTCCCATCATGCTCCAAGGCAGTACATAATTAGAGCATTAATTATGCTTACATTCTTTGCTCTCCATTTACTGGCGCTTGTGCTAAAGAAACTTGCTGTGTTGCTGCAAACTTAAGAAGGTGACTGAAATCACATACAACCCTGAACTCTTAGGGAAAATCTTGACTAAAGCAATTGTCCATGATAAAGAAAATTCACAAGCATTTGTAGTGTCAATGAAAGCAGGGATTTTCTGCCAGCATGAGCTACTGTGGGCACTTTTATTTTTTCATTTTTGTTACTGCAAACTCAAAATTTAGAAAAGTTTCTTTATTGGCATCTGATTCTGTGAAGAAACTTTAACATTCATGGAACTTATCAATTATACTGGTTCTTTACGGTAGACAAACTTACTTTGATTACTGATTTCTGGTCATGTTTTCTGTTGCTACTTTGGCAGAGAATGTTGCAGTCAATGGCATTCCACATGACTTGGAAATGACATAAAGCGAGACCAAAGTCTATAGATTAATACATTTCATTACAGAAACTTTGATGATAATGAGTGGAACGGCCGTAAATGAGGTTGGTGTCGTGATCTTGTTCCTTTTGAGTGCGCATGCGCATTAGCTTGGGTAACCTGAAAATGAGCGATTTTGTTTGATTTAGATGTTTAGAAACTAAACTCATGAGAGTTGTTGTTTGATTTTATTGGTTATTTTAAATATGTTATGTAAACATGAACTTGGCAAAGAGTTTTGGAGAATTTGATGTTTCCCCATTCAGACACAATGCCCGCGAGTAGACATGCCCTAAGTGAAGTTTCATAAACTTGAGAAGAGCACGTGATATGATTGAGCATGACTGGCTCCATATCTGTAATCAGTAATAATCCAATCAGTGATCCAAGCTTACAATAAATGGATAGTTTTATTCTTTACTGCTCTTAGTTTTGGAGAAATCCCCCTCCTCCTTTTCCTCCCTTTTCTTAGCGGAGCTCTTGAAACCTACCTGATCTCGCATCCTCTTATATGCTTATTGACCGGGCTCGGCCTTGGGCTCAAGTATCTCCGAGCTCAGGGTTCTCTCCCGGGACAGCATGCCAAACCTGCTATTAAAGCTAAGAATGTCTAAGTGGGAACTCTTGAAAGAGACTTTGGCACGATATAGCCTTCACCAAATGTCTCACTGACTTAAAGTTGGAAAAAAGTTTCCAAAAAATGGGTTTAAAAAAAAACAACAACTCCAGGTTTCTCTCCATCTTATGCAAATAAACAGTCTAAAATCCAAATTTAGCTCACTTTAAAGAAATGTAAACATAAAAAAACATACATGAATATAAAGCTCTTGTATAGCTCTGCAATACATTGACACGTTAGTTCACAATCTTATGGAAGGCAATTGTGTGGTGGAAATAAATGTATGCAATGTCTTTAAAAAAAAAAAACGAAAGTGTGAAATCAATCACAAAAAACACATACAGTAGGTGCTGTTTCATAGAATAGTCATGTTAATAAAAGCTCTATATATTTTTTTCACTTTTCCAGTGCCTTGGACTTATGCTTCCGAGGACAAATTCTATTTTAGACTAAATTTGCATAGGGCTTTACAATATATTATTTCAGCATTGATATCGCAATATGTGCATTCACAATAGTCACATCACAGGATATCCAATGCTGCTTTGGATTAAATTTGATCAGCACTACAGTTGCGAATGCAAGAGATTTGTGGAGTAACTATGAAGTTTACCCAAAACAGAGTGAAAGTTTATCATTTGCATGTTTTTTTAAAGGCATTTCAAGAGAGATTGAAGCATTTGGGTACAAAAAAGTACATTTGTAACTTATTAAACAATAATTGTTATTAAATATTAATACAGTTAAGTCTATTCATTGTTATAGTATTATTGTACATGACATTTGATCATTCGATTTCTGTACCTGGATACTGTTTGACATGCCAGAAAACCATAACGCTGTTTGTTTGACTTTTTTTCTTTGCTCTATTGTATATATTTTTGCTTGCAATTTTTTTTTTCTTATTCCAATACAAAATCACCATAGTCAGTCTAAATTCAGGATTTCTTTCCAAAATAGTGCTATTAAACCGTCTGATGAAATTGCATTCATACTGCAATACGTATCGCAGAAAAACAAAATATCTTAATGTCCATTTTTTCCAATATCGTGCAGCCCTAGATGTTATGTTGAGATCCAATTATAGAATTATAGAGTTTTTTTGTTCACTGTAAAAAAAAGATGCTGGGTTCAACACAATTCCCTCATGTTGTCTCAACAAAAATAGATTAAGTTAGCTTAATTGTTTTTACAAATGTGAGTAGACTGAACATGAAACAATGAAGTTTTCCCAAAAAAAGATTTAATAATTGTGTTGTTTCAGCTCAATTTAAAAAGGCAGCTTGAACAAGCAGTAAAAGTATTGTTTTGCTTGTCAAGAACATTATTAGAAATAGAAACATTTCCAGTTTTGGTTTAAACTATTCCTTCAAAAGAAAAACCTGTTACTTTAAGAGCTATCTAGTAACATTTATCATGTTTGGTGAGCACTGAGGTTTCTCTATAGAGCTTCTGTAAAAAACCCTACCTTACGGCTTATGGTTTCAAACAACATGCCGTTTTGATTGACAAGCTACTTGAATTACCACTCTGGGTCATGAACATGCCGGCACATGTTCTCATTATACTCCTTCAGAGCCTCAATTTAAAAGAACTGCCAAAAACCAAGCCAAACTGATCAGCACAGAAGCTTTATCATTGCATTTTTATTTCCAAGTTTTGCATCACCTGCTATTTTGATGGTAATTCTCTCTCTCTCTCTCTCTTTTTTTTTTTACAGTCATCATAATTTCACTGCAGACCAGGAGAGCCTGAGCTCCATCCAGGAGGGTCTCGAGGGCAAAACCAATGAGTCCAGGGCTCTGGGAGGAATGTCAGCTGGCTGGAGGAACAGAGCGAGGCCTTCAGCAAAAAGAAAAAACTCTCTTTATGTACTGCACAGATTTGGCCTTCCATAGAAAAAAAGGGGAAAAGTCTGAATTCGGAAGCACTCGCCCTGTTCAGTCATCCTGATGCCTACAGCTACAGACAGCTTAAAGAGTTTCAACAGCCAAAAGCATGCAAGAAACATGGAAAAAACACTAAAAGAAAAATAAATACATCTCAGGATTTAAAAAGAGGAAAAAAACAATACATTAGTTTTTTTTAAAAATCCGTTCTCGACTGTTTGTTACATACTGTATATATATTCTGAAGACACACAGCTTTGTACATTTTGGTATCGTTCTCCATTGTCTAGCGAGGACTAGCAGACTGGGCTGCCCACGTTTGCTGGAATGAGGACATGTAGTCGGGACAGGTAAAGGCAGAGAAGAGACAGTCCGTCTTGCCTAATTGACGAGTGCTGACAGAAGCAAGAGAAGAAAGCTTGTTAGAATATTCTCCTCCTCTTTTTTTTTGGATGGAGGTGTTCAGCAGTGAGGCAGACAGGCTTGTGCGGAGACTGAAGAGATGCCCCCGTCATCACAGGAGCCGGCGACTTCTGCCACTCTTATTTCTTCTCTGCGGGAGGAAGGACACAGCAGAATGACAGAAGGAACTTGAAACAACAACTGGTTTGAGTGGAAATCTGTAGTAGTGGACGTTACCTCTGCTCTCGTCTGCTTCTGCTGCTGATCCGACAGGCCTTTGGCGAAGTAGATTATAATACTTAGTTTCCATCTCCTACAAAAAAAAACAAAATGTTCATCAAATTAGCAGATCTGGCTTAAAGGGCCATGACACCCCCCACTTTCGGTTAAAGTCTACTTCAGAATTTTTTCAAAAGATGCATGATTAATAGGTGTGGAGCTCCGCGAGCATCGGGCAGGAGTGGGTGTAGCCAGCAGGGGAGAACGTGAGCGAACGAAGCTAGCTCACAAAATGAGACAAACCGTGAGGAGACGCATGAGTTTATAGTTTACAAAGTTAAAATGCAAAGAAATGAACAGTGATTTAATGCCCTGCTGCATTTGTTATTCGTAATTTCATATACACATAACCACAATTTATATCATTATAAAGATACGTGTGTTCATGTAAACTATAAATGAGGACTTCTCCCTCAATCCCCGAATCCAGCAGACTCAGTGCAGCAGGTCTCCTGACCCGTCTATTTTAACCATTAACCCTGCTGGTAATCTGGAGGATTTAGGCAAACACAGCAGTACAGTGATGTGTCTGAATGTGAACGAACTCCTGATAAAAGACAGCGTCCGCCATTCTCTAATTCTCGTGCTGCTCTCCAGACAAAAATGCTAGCAGCACACACACAGCTTTGCTGTATGATCGGCCCTGACAAGATCGCGGGGGAAAACATGCAACAAACCCCGTGGATCATGGAAACAAACGCATATGGGTGCCATGGGTCCGTGACGTGTCTCACAACTCGGGCTTGACTCTGGCAGGTCTGGCAGGTCTCATGAATAATTAAGCAGCCGGCTCTTCTCATAGGATAAGAAAACTCCGCTATGAATAATAATGAGAAACCGACGCGTCATCACTGCACTTGCAGTACTGCGCTATGTCGCCGATTTTGATCCCGCCCCAAAAATCATTTTAAACCTGGAAGCTGAAATTAGCTGACAAAAGCTCAAAATTATCCAGTTTTCCCCACAATTAAAGCTGACAGGTGCTAACATTGTCTTAACTGATGCTCAACACACACAAATCTGTTAATATAAAAAAAAAAAGTTCTCCAGGGTGTCCTGAACCTTTAAGAGTAAGGCTCAATGATAAAGCTCAATGTAATTGAGCCTTCAGATATAATATTGTATTTCACATGAAAATTAATTGAACAATTTAAAACATTGAAAATTTTTTTATGTTAAATTAAAAAAGTTGTACTATCACAATTTTCAGTAAATGATTCGAGCAATAAATTGACTCTGGTTTGGTTCCAGTAAAAAATGGTTATAAAATTCTCCTGCAGTATACCAATAGACAATAAAGATACTTTCATATCTCGAAATATAACTTTGATGTCCAATAAAGGCGGAACAAACCATCACAAACAAAGTAGTGGTAAAATCAGCGAATATACACAACTAGACATATCAAAATATGCAAACTGTACATGTATTTGAGCACTATTAATATAATTACAATAAATCAAATTATGGCTCTAACACATTTATTTAATTTAAAAAAGTATAATAACTACTAATATTTACAGAGTATATACAGGAACCGAGAGTGAAATTCAATACCTTTTAAGACCTTTTTAAGACTCTTTCCATACATTTTAAGACCTTATAACCACTTGAGATTTCAACTTACAGAACATTAACTAAATATTAATGTAAGAAACTAATCCAAAACTAAAACATTATTCTTATACTGAATACAAATCAATGAAACTAGCCAATTCAGCAGGTTGGCGCCTATAGAACTGCAGAAAAAGTAGTGTTGCCTTACTGCAGTAAACAAAGCAGCATAATGTCAAATCTAGCTTGATTTCATAAACTACACAGCATATTCGCCTGATATTCGCAGATTGAATTCAGGCAAACTTTAACATACAAATATACATTGCATAATCAAATATTATATAAAATCAAATACCTTGCAAAATAGCATTTATGACATTTTAATACTTTTTAAGGGCCTTAAATTTCTCTACATTGATTTATCAACTTTTAAAGACCCTGCGGATACCCTGATTTATTATTTTATTTTATATATATATATATATATATATATATATATTAGTAATGTTGGCTTTTTTTATGGATTAATTTATTATTGTACATTAACTTTAACTACATGAAAATGAGAAATATTTCCTTTTACATAATTTAATTAATTAAATTTTTTTCCCAAGTAACAAAAATATATTGTTGTTTTTGTTTTAGTAAACAAAAATGACCCATAATCAAATAATGACCCAATTTTAATAAACGTAATGGTCTTAAATAGTACAATAAAACCATCAAAAATATTCACCATCATGTTTTACATTGGTGAATAAACAATCATGAGTATGCTATAATCAAGGGGTGCTCAAACTCAGTCCTGGAGAGCCGGTGTCCTGCAGATAGCTAATAATTAAGATAACTAATAACAATACCTAATAAAAAAAACTGTTTTAATAAACGTAATGGTCTTAGAAAGTGCATTAAAACCATAAAAATATTCACCATCATGTTTTACATTGGTGAATAAACAATCATGTGTATACTATAATCAAGGGGTGCTCAAACTCAGTCCTGGGAGGTCGGTGTCCTGGGTTAATTCCAAACTCAATTAGACACTCCTGGCTAATCAAGCTCTTTCTAGGTATACTAGAAGCTTCCAGGCAGGAAGTTGGAACTAAACTACGCTGGACACTGGCCCCTCCAGGACCAGGTTTGGGCACCCCTGCTATAATTCTTTATTGCAACATAAAGTCCTAAAACACAGAGTGAGGTGGAAAGTGGGAAACCTTGAGGTGGTTGAGGTTGGCCTGCAGGCAGCGCAGGTGTGAGAGCACCTGTCTGCTGAGACGGGACGTGCTGCCAGAGGAGGGCGAGGAGAACTTCAGGCTGATCCCAGAGTCAGCAGCGCAGCTGTGGGCCAAACCAGGCTCCTTTCTCCCAACCTGAAAATCATCATCAGTGCTGCTCTCGCCCGAGCCACCGAAGCCCTCCAGAACCAGGTACGCTGCTGAAAAACCCAACTACTGTCAGATGGCTCACCTCAAGCATGACACACATTTGACCATTTCCAAGGATTTAATTGTATCTATCATGTAGTGATGGGCAATATGGTCTAATACACTGTAAAACCCAACAGTCAACTTTATCAAATGAAATAAATGTAGATAACTCAAAACTGACTGAAAGTTAATTCTACTCATTTGAAAAGAGTTTTGAACTCAGTGTTGAAGGTAAATACCTCATTACTTTAACCTAAATGGAGTAAGTTCACAGTACTCATATAGACTAGTTTTTTTTTTTTAATCAAATGGTTTGTAGCAATCGGTTTCCTCAAATAGTTTGAGTTGCCTTGACTTATTGGGTAAGTACTCAGTTGTACTCAGTTAGTACTAGTATAGTACTCAGTTGGTTTGACTTCTCTTCATTTATTGGGTTTTACTATGCTCAAATTGCTTTGTTTATGTAAATGGATCAAGTTCAAAGTACTCATTAGGATTAGTTTTTGAACTTAAATTGTTTGTTGCAATTGGTTTCCTCAAATGGTTTGAGTTAACCTAACTTTGTGAGTTTTACAGTGTAAGATCTTATATCATATCAATTATGGCTTTATTATTTGCGTAAATACATCGTAAATATGTTAAGATGATTAGACTTGCCTACTATCTGGATCTGCTAATGTACTGCAGCAGCACATACACAATACAGTTATGTGTGTCTGTTTACAAAGAGATTTACCAAATATACTTCCAAATTAACTCGTAACAACAGTCGAGTGTTTGAAATAATTACTATTTATGACCAGATGTGGTTTCTTTCACAAAATAAGTAAGAACTCGTACTATTGTGTGATATTCTAAAGTATGTCTTCAGCTCTGTGATGCATATTAAGGTAATGCATGCATCTTAAGTTATTGCATGTGATCATCCTTTAGCTTCAAATGTCAATAAAACTGTCATTACATCACATGTGCACTCACAACACCCTATTTTTTTAGGGTGCTGTTTAATGGCTCAAGCAGTTTTTCAATGTTTCCTAATATATTTTGTTCTTGTGGGAAAAGTCTTATTACCTACTGCGCCACTGCGTCACCCTTTTTTTTCGTTTGGCTAAAACCAAAGCAGTTTTAATATATTTGACTTTTTTTTGAGTCAATATTATAAAACCACCTAATTAACCAAACTTACCTAGTTAACCTAACCTAGTTAACCTATTTAAGTCTTAAAATTTCACTATAAACTAGGGATGTAACGGTATTGTAAATACCGTCATACCGCAATATTAATTTTTTTCGATATTACCGAAGTCGCATGACTCGGTAAAACTATAGGTCTTCTGAGAAAATTTGCTTAGGCGAATGAAGCGAACGGGAGGTAGCAAAAACTACAATACCCATCAGCCCATGCTTGACCATCATCCCTTGCAGTCTGTTGTCGCTACAGATCCAGTAATGCGGAAATGGAGTGTACTGCTAGAAGCGGGGATGAAAAGAGTTCTCGAGCGCCGAAAACGGAGCGTTTCGAAATGTGTGGATAATGTCTCAGTGTGGATAATGGAAAACTGAGACACCTAAAAACGGAGGCGGGGCTGCAGACGTTCGCCTCTCTGATTGGGGCTTTTCCTGAATATTAAGTAGCCTAACACGCACAGTCCAGTCCTGCATCCTCTCCTTGTAAGTTCAGACTTCGCAAGTTTGATCAAGGCTGCAGTCTCTTCTTCTCAGTTTGATATGGAAAAGCAGACTATACCGAGGACACGGGTAAATCTTCAAAGGGAACAATGTACTTTATAACTTCATTCACATCACCCTGGCTTCGTTGTTTCACTTTATCAACAATAAAATGTAAACATGATTTAAGGAACTGCCTATTTTCATTTTAATATTAGCAACTTAGACAACAGACATGTTGAGGCGTCGTGCTGCATATATGAGCGTCATCTTCACTGTGGATATTTATAACAAAACGGAGCCGATAACAACTGCTTCCTTTTAATTTCAGTGAAAATACGAAACACAGCCTCTCTTTTGCTGAATATCAGTTTTAATAATCGATAATGGCCATTTTAAAAGTATAACATACAATAAGTTTATACATTATAGGAAATAAAGGCAAGCTATCAGTCAATATACAGAATGTACGTGGTTACATTAATCATTAACTTATCTTTGCGCTCAGCCAAAACACGTTAACTGAGAACAAGTAATAGATTCCAATGACCAAAGTCAGGGAATATGTCGTTAGATAAAGACAACAAGATAAATGAAATATCCCGTTTAATAAATATAGTGAGATTAGATCCAGCGGGAGATGCTTGATGAGAAGTCCGACTAGCAGAGCTCTCATCTGTGTAGATGGGCTGAGTGTGATTAAATGTTGAATGTGATGAGTTTTCAACAATACTAAATTGAAACTTTATTGTTTTTACATGGTTTAATAATTTTTTGTTATTAAAATTGAAGTTCCTGTTTCAAAGCTAACAGATAGATGGCTAATTTGTATGTCATTGACACTTTTGGCACTTTTTTGGAGTATTTTCATAAGTTTTGTTTTTTCCTGTAAATGATTCAATAAATACCGTACCGTGACATTCATACCGAGGTATTACCGTACCGTGAAATTCTGATACCGTTACATCCCTACTATAAACTGAATACTAGTATATTGCAAAATAACGAGTAAAATATAACCCACTGTCATCATGGCAAAGGCAAAAGAAATTAGTTAACAATTTTATTTTTAAATGTGTTAAAAAATATTCTCTTTTTGAGCACTTTTATTATTAATTTTATTAATATTTGAAAAAGAATTCAGATTTCACAGGAAGGCAAGTAGTTTTCTCCTCAATTGTATTGTAGTTTTATGTCCTGAAGATGTGAAGCACTCACCGTAATCCTCCGGGCACTCATAGAAGCCTGTGTCGCCAGAGGTGTAGTCCTGAGCTCGACTAGGGGTGCGGTTGGAGTTGTGCTCCACTGGTGTGCGTAAAGAGGTGGTCCTGAGCAGACGACTGCCGGCCGATCGGCCCAATCGCTCACCCTCATCCTGAGCCATCAGCTGAGTCAGCAGCACCTGCTTTAGCGCTGCCACTGAAAACACATGTACACACACCTTAAAGCAACCTTACACAAAGACGCTGATGACACAACACACAGGCCAAATGCGATATTGAGAGCCGTCTTTTCACCGGCATCAATTCTCTTGTTTAGATTTGATGGTAGCATTCACTTTTATTCAAATAAACCGCACTAACAGAGCAATCACACCACATTTACTTTTAATCGCACCAAATCTGCCCAGTGTAAACACAAAAAAAGTTTGTACAAGGTTGTACAATAACAATGTAACCTAAAAGTGTTCTAAGTAATGAATTCACAAATTCATTCATTCATCCATTAATTTTCCTCCGGCTTAGTCACTTTTTTATCAGAAGTCACCACATATTATTCCATATACACTCACCGGCCACTTTACTAGGTATAACTGCTCATTAACACAAATTTCATTTAGGCATGTAGACATGGTCAAGACGATCTGCTGCAGTTCAAACCGAGCATCAGAATGGGGAAGAAAGGTGATTTAAGTCACTTTGAACTTGGCATGGTTGTTTGTGCCAGGCAGGCTGATCAGAGTATTTCAGAAACTGCAGATCTGCTGGAATTTTCACGCATAACCATCTCTAGGATTTACAGAGAATGGTCTGAAAAAGACAAAATATGCAGTGAGCAGCAGTTCTGTGGGTGCAAATGCCTTGTTGATGCCAGAGGTCAGAAAAGAATGGCCGGCTGGTTCCAGCTGATAGAAAGGCAACAATAACTCAAATAACCACTCGTTACAACTGAGGTATGAAGAAGAGCATCTCTGAATGCACAACACGTCGAACCTTGGCAGATGGGCTACAGAAGCAGAAGACCACACTGGGTGCCACTCCTGTCAGCTAAGAACAGGAAACTGAGGCTACAATTCGCACAGGCTCAAAAAAATAAGACAATAGAAGATTGTAAAAATGTTGCCTGATGAGTCTTAATTTCTGCTGCGACATTCGCATGGTAGGGTGAGAATTTGGCATCAAAAACATAAACACATCCTGCCTTGTATCAACGGTTCAGGCTGGTGGTCATGGTGTAATGGTGTGGGGGATTTCTTTTGGCACACTTTGGGCCCATTAGTACCAATCTGAGCATCGTGTTAATGCCACAGCCTACTGTAAATGTGTATTGTTGCTGACCATGTCCATTCCTTTATGACCACAGTGTACCCATCTTCTGATGGCTACTTCCAGCAGGATAATATGTCATGTCATATAGCGCGAATCATCTCAGACTGGTTTCTAGAACATGACAATAGCAGTGTTTCCACTATCACTCCTAAAGCGAGCGAGCCAGGGCGAGCCAAGGCCAGTCGCGGTTCCACTGTCACCTCCGGGGCCTGATCGGGCTAAAGCCCTTTTTCGGCCTGCCAAATACCTTGGGCCAAAGAGGGCCAGTTGGGGCTTCGGGATGTGTGAAAGGAGAGGCAAACTTTGCCCGAGTCAGTTAAAGATGGCATGCCGTCATTACCCTAGTTTTCCGATCACACAAGAGTACCTGCGCCAAAACAATAAATAAATAAGGTAAAGAAAACATAGCTGATCAGTTTAAGATAGGCTATTCCATAAAACACCTTATAGGCTAGGGATCTTTTTGCTTATGATCGCCCTTATGTTTCCCTTTTAAATCTAAGGCTGTTGCATAAAAAAAACTTTTAATTTGAAATTTCCTTGCTGCGTCCTCCTTGATATTTCAATAGCGCATAATAATCTTTACACCATACTAAAGACACAGCAGCCAGTAAAGGTTGTTGAGAGTTTTTTGTCAAGTTTAAAAGGTGTGTTTGTGCATGATACGTGCGTGCTGAGAAGCCTGTGTGTGTGTGTGTGTGGCCGGGCAAAAGAGCGCGCTTGACAGCTCTGTTGATGCCACGAGCGGCTTTTTTCTTTTAAAATTTATTTTGGAGATGATACAAAACATGAATACAACGGACAGACATAAAACTTTTACAAATTATGTGTCCACTTTTGTAGGCTCAAAACAATTGTGTCATATCTCTATAAAAAACAGCCTAAGCTATATTGAAATAATTTAAAGAATCACAAATATTGATATAATAAAATCACATTAAATAAATGAACCAATATAAAACAAACAAAAGCTATAACAATGTAGGTTTATACAATACATAAATTTAACCGTTTTAAGCCATATATAACCTTCATTTTACAATTTTAAATATTTTCTAAAAACAATAAACACCAGAGGAGGGTTAAAATATTGATTAAAAAGTATTTGGGTTCGATGATATTAAACAAATCGTGCAAACAGAGCATTTTTAGGTAAGTGAAAGCAGAATCTACCTTTTTTCTGTCACGCAGTCCTGCGCAGCGCCGCTTTACAAACACATTAGGGAAAACTGCAAACACAAAATGTGTTCTGTGTCCTCAAACAAGTGTTTCTGTTTTTAGCATTGAGCTGAATGTTTGACAGCGTCTATCAAAACAAGGATGTTATAAAATACATTTTATACCGAGTTATTACTGGAGAATATCTGTGGTTTTATGTTATGTATGGGTGCGCTCACTGCGCTGGGCTCCTCCGTTAGTGGCGAGACCCAACAGACGATGCCAACAGTCGGTCGGTGAATAAACAAATAAAACGAATGAAAACACACAGGCCTGTGCGTATAGACATATAATGTAGCCTAATGCTGTACAGTAACGTGTCATCTCTTTGTTTCGGTTGTCTTCATTTTAATCATTTTGTGATGATGCGATGGTGTGCTTTATCTGTTTGATTCCCGCTAAAGTGGGCGGGTTGTGTAACGTTTGATTCAGGGGACATTCTGGGGGCTGCTAGCCCGACAGTGGAAATGCGACATGATTTCGGCCTCACTACTCAACCTCCCGGGATATTGGCCCTGCCTGGCCCGATAAAAACCCTGGCTTGCACTGCCCCGAAAGTGGAAACGCGGTTAATGAGTTCAAATGGCCTCCACAGTCCCCAGACCTCAATCCAATAGAGCACCTTTTGTATGTGGTGGAACAGGAGATTCGCATCATGGATGTGCAGCTGACAAATCTGCAGCAACTGCGTGGTACCTTGTTGAATCTATGCCATGAAGGATTAAGGCAGTTCTAAAGGCAAAGAGGGGTCCAACCCAGTACTAGTAATGTGTCCCTAATAAAGTGGATGATGAGTGTATACATTTTTCTGTCTGATTTAACTAAACAGGAATATGAGTACATTTGAAGAGAATCAAAACCTTTAATCAAAGTTGTCCTAAAACCAATAAACAACATGCGTTCTTGTGTTAAAACATTTTTTCTTTACTTTTTTGATCCACTTCAATTGTTGACTACTGTATATGTGAATCAGTATAGTATCTGCTGAAGTCAATCTTTCCATTACCAGTGTTGGCTTCAGATACCAAGAGACCCATTACACCAAATGCAAAAAACTTGACAAAAAAGCAGATTGATCTTAAGTTCACATATTTGTTGTTTTCAACAGAAGTGAATTCCATTAGGAAGCAAAAGTAGCCAAGCTCTTGTATTGTTAGATACTAAACTAATTAAAAGGCACTTGGAAAACAAACAAATCTTTTCTGGAGTGTTCTTTTGTTTTTTAATCAATAGAGGCTGAATTGTCATTTTCTTGAGTTGGCAGGCACACAGACAACTGCCACCCAGTGCTGAGAAAAAGCCAAAACAAATGGCCGCACTAGACTCAAATCATGCTTTCTGCCTATTTATTATGCAGATTGTCATTTTGCATTTGTCATTTGAAGCTGCCAGAGATGAAACACCACATGAAAGCAATAGTATTCAAATCTACCAAAGACTTACATGTTTTCAGGGCCTCGTCAGCTTTAGATGAACAAGATAGAGAGTCTGTTTCCCTGCCGTTCAAAAGTTCAGAGTCCTGATAGGAAGCGTCTCTGCCAGCTCTCGCGACCTGGTCCTCTTCCCCAGGGTTGGTATCGGGCACACAGTCCCGCAGGGCTGCTGAGGGCGAAAATTCACCGTCTTTCTCTGAGGACAGATGATGAAGGCTTGACTTGAGTATGGCAGCAATCAACACTTTTACAATCAGAGGAGCGTTTGTACATGCATAGCTACCTGCGGACTGGATGCTTCCTGTGGAGATCCGATCAGAGCCTTTGCTGAACTTGCTTAACTCCACACCGTCTCTGTCGCCACTAGAACACAGATGAACAGTTATATAAGCTTCATGCCTTCATATTTGCTACTTTTTAAATTGCTTTTATGAAGAGATTAGATAATGTTGTCCCAAAAAACTGTTATTCATGTCTATGAACAACTTCGACTAAAATAATTTAAAGAGTTAAATAATAATAATAAAACATTTTGATAAGTTTAAATATATATATATATATATATATATATATATATATATATATATATATATATATATATATATATATATATATAAGAATTTGAAACTATTTTGTGTCTAGGATTTTTTTTACAAGATAAAGAACCCAGGTTAAAGGTGCAGTACGTAAGTTGTTGAACTAAGTATTGCATTTCTGGATCAAAATAAATGCAAGTCAGTGCCAACAGCCTAGTGGTTAGAGCGTCGACACATAGCACTAAGGTGGTCACAGCGCCCCGAGTTCGATTTCCCTTCTCTTCTCTTTCCTTCTCTCTGCTTCCCACACTCTCCTGTCTGCAATCTCCTCTGTCCTTATCCATTGAAGGTGAAAACCCCGAAAAAACAATTAAAAACGCAAGCACAGATTGCTAGATTGAGAACCATTGAGCCTAAACACTGATTTAAGGCTAGTTTAAATTGTGTTCTAAATAAAACCAACGACACTTGAAAGAAGAAATATTCTCCATATGTAAAGGAGGTTTGCTTTAATCAACACCTCGAATAGATATATTAGAAGCAGCTTTTATTTCTTAGATTATAAACCTTACCATTTCGTGAGTGAGTGCATATTCTGTGCTTCTGAATGGCTGTATTTAAATTTCTGTAGTGTTTCGTTTGGTGAAAACATCCAAATTGCTTATCACTGCAAATCTCATCACGTAGCATGTTGTTAGGACACACGGTTACAATCTAACATGCTTACCTAATGTTTACACGTAATATTTATATCATTTGCTAATAAATAACCTCATGTGGAACTCTGAATCTGCGTCTTTTTGTTGTTGTTGTGTGTGAAGTGAAGAGCTTTTCTGCATCCAAATAAGCATACATTCATGGAGCAGGTGTATTAAATAAATGGGATGTTAAAATAGTATGTTCAATATCACTGTATTCATAAAACAGGAGCCGGAAGTATCTACAGCGTTTTGGAAGTGTGCATCTAATTATCCCATTAGTGTATGGAGGAAAGATTGAGACCATAAAAAATTGAGCGTAAAACCACTTTAAGTACAACAATTATTTTTTAAATATGCAAAAATAGCAAAATACTAACACCCCATGTTTTTTTTTAAATATTCAAAAGAACAGAATTTGTTTGCTATATAATACTAATCTACAATATAACTGTAACTTTTGATCAATTTAATACAAATAAAGTATTAATTTATTTTATCTTGACCCAGTGAACCCCTATATAACATGCATTTTCAGGGAATAAATGGTCAATTGAGATGCATTAGTCACAAGTACTCACAAGTACAACTAATGAACAAACCAATGCTACAGAGCTTACAAAGCAATCAAATAAATAAGATTTGAATGACAACGATTTTGATCGTACAGTGTGTGTTTTGGTACATTGTAGCAAAGTATGACCACCTTGTTTGTCCCATAATTATCATGTGTTAGTAATACATCTGACCTTTTGTGGATTTTTAAACTCAATCTACCACATGAGCATCAACACTTTAAGAAATCTTAAACTGAATGAGTTTTTAGCAACCTATTAAAGACAAACTCGAAACATTTTAGTCTCTGTTTACACCTGTATTCATCATTGTCCTATTGTGATCAGCTTGATGAATATGCATCTAAATACCAGGTGCAAACAAACCCAATCTTGTGGTGTAAAATGGGCTTGCTTAACTAAGATGGTTTCAATTGTAAGTATAAAGGAACTTACTCGTGTTGAGGCAAAGGAATGACACTGTGAGGTTTGGTGTTCATAACCTCTGCCCTCTGAGTGATCTGCCGTTGCCACCTGATAGAAAAGACAGAGAATAAACTCAGCTCTATTATAAGAGAGACAAGTCCTGCAGAATTATGAAACTGAAAGAAGTGGCCAAAACATACATCCTCTGCTCAGACACCGTCTGGGCCATCAGCTCATAAATCTGAGCTCCGTTTTTGGACATGGAGATCACAAAGAATGATCTATTATCTGTTTGGGGAAATCAAGGAAACTGTTATGGATTCATTCTTGAAATATACTGCGGGTAAAATAAGTCTTGAACGTGTCCTGATTTCTCATGGTAAATATATTTCTAAAGGAACTGTTGACATAAGATTTTCATAAAAACCCAAACAGTCCAAACATACAAATAAAACAAAACATAAAAAGATGTGTAATAACAATATAATGACACAAGGAGAAGATACTGAACTACTGAAATCTATTTAATACTTTGTATAAAAGGCTCTATACATGCTGTATTTTAGTAATGACAGCTTAAAGACGCCTTTAATATGCAGTCACATGCATTACTCAGGTATATATTTTTCCAATACTTGAACAGAGTTTAAAAATCTTAATGGTTCCATGAGTCTCGTCAATTAAACCTGATTTTTTTGTTCTTATTTTCTATTGGATTCAAGTCAGGTGATAGCATGAGCTATTTTAGCAACTTTATTTTCTTTTTCTAAAAGCAGTTGTGAGTTTCCTTGGCTGTGTTTTGGATCATTGTCTTGCTGAAATGTCCACCCTGGTTACATCTTCATCATCTGGTAATGTAGGTTTTAAGACTAAAGCAGCTAATATTCATTTTACAATGTCGAAACACATGGTTACTTTCTAACTACTGAGAGATTTGAGTTGCTGTCTGGGCTTTCCATGGCTTTTTTCACCTCCCTTTCTTTATGTGTTCAATACTTTTTCCCTGAGCCATTAAATTTTACTACACATAACTTCATTTCTAAACTAATTTGTTTAGTTTTCTTTTGTATTGATGGATTACTTTGGTTGTTACTGACACCTGGTGAACATTTCTAGTCAATAGCACCTTTATAAATATGTTTTCTGAGAAAAATTGAGACATGTTTAATATAATAGTCCTTTCATTTTTGTCAGACACTGACCTGTGGCCACAGAGCGCACCAGCACAGTGCTGAGCTTGATGATAGGGCTGAAGATGTGTTTGGTTTCAGCTGTTCCTGCCAGGTTCTTACTGTGACACCTGAGAATGAGACGCTCGTCCTGCTTCTGCAGCAGCACCAGTATGTCTTCCAGGAGTAACGTATACAACTCTGCAACAAAAAAAAACACACTGCATTGTGATTATACCATCAACAAAAGCAGCTCAGAAGGCAAAAACTGAAAACAGTGGCTTACCAATTGTTTTGTCTTTATTTATCTTCCAGGAGAGAGGACCCTCGTGGACCATCTTTCGTTTAGTGAGATCCAGGTTCTGTGTGACAATAAATAAATGAGAAAAATCCTAGTGGTTACTAGAAGGGACTCACAAGTTTTGCTCACACAGAGCCTAATTAAAACTTGCTTTTCAAACCTGATGCAGGATATTAAATGTCGCCGACATCAAGATTAGTTACAACACTGTGAAAGCCACATTAGAGAACTTTTGGGTAAATTTAGGCTATTACAGTCCAGTGTTATTTCGGTTAACTCATCATTAATTGAAGAAAACCTATATTTTATTATAGCTCGAAATAAATACTACAACAAAACTTGCTCTTAAAAATGTTGTCCTCTTAAAAATAAAGTTACAGCATAAAATGTGATTGATGTTCATCCTTTTTCATGACTTTAAAAAACCTTTTCTTACTGCTTCTCAAATTCAGTTCTCCAGGAAAACTCCTAGACAAACTCCTACACTAACACTAACATTAACACTAACCTTGAACTCTGAGATCATTGGGTTCTCGCTCTGCTTGAGGGAAGAGAGGTCCAGCCGTCTCTGGTAGTCTTCCAGTCTCTGTGGAACATCAACAAATATAGATATTCATGCAGCAGAATGCATTAGCCTTAGCCAACCTCTTAAAACGCTGACTTTAGACACCCCCAAAACTGTAAAGCTTTAATCTTGCACAAATCACACTGATAAGGCTGGAAAGGATGAGATTTTGCTAGCTTGCCTCTTAAAACACTGAATTTATACATCCACAAAAAACTGTAAAGCTTAAGTCTTGTGCAAAAATACACTTTAGGTGCTGGGAACTATGAGATTTTGCTAGCTTGCCTCATATAATACTGAATTTAGACATCCCCAAAAGCTGTAAAGCTTTAGTCTTGCCCAAAATTAACTGCAGACGCTGAAAAAGATGAGATTTTGCTAGCTTGCCTCTTATAACGCTGAATTTAGACCTTTTAAAATAATATTCTTGATCTTCTGGAGTTTACAGAGGGTTGGATGATCTCTGTTTGTACTCTAGGAACAGTGTTCATAGCTGACGCAAGAAGATGCATTAAGTTTGCTTCTCCAGGCATTCCTTCAAGCTTAGCTGACCTGAGGCTATAAACTCTGGATGGAGTTGCACGACTTACCTGTTTATTCTCGGACTCCTTCACAGACTGATTGACGTGGTTGAGAATCTGTCGACAGCATTCTGCTGCTCGTCTCACTTTGTCTTTTTCCTCTGACTCATCTGTTGGAGGAAGATACAGACCGAACACGTTTCAAGAAGAGACTTAATCAACTCTTTAAGAACACCCGGGCCGGCCGGGTGTCTGCCATTCCCTCCAGTGTCCACTATTGCCAAGCTCAGATGAATATGAGGAAAATCACCTCCTCCTTAATCGCTAGTTATACTTTACATTTATTGCTTTCCTCTGACAATGCCAAGAGAGCCACAATTTAGCACGACTGCCAAATAATGTGCGGCTCCTCCCTCAGAACATCTCGGAATAATAATGGGGATTTAAGAGCATTGCTCTAATTTACTAATGGTTGGTGTCCAGCCAGAAAATGCTTTCTGAGAAGCCGACATAGTGCTGTAGAGACCACGAGAGGGACATTTAGGTCTGTCGAACATTTTAAGGCAATATTATATTTAAAATATTTTTTAAATCGAACTAGCATTTAAATTTAGGTTCAACTAAAATAACTAATACAAGAATTAATATAATGATTAATAAAAACTATATTGACATATTTAAGTATAAATGTAATCATAAACAATAATAAAACTACAAAATAAAAGTACGTTCTAAAAATTAAATCAATCCAAATAACTATTAATAAAGACTACATTCATTTTAAATATAACACTCGCTTCATTCAAAACTAGAAGTGAGCCATTTGCAGGACTCAAAACTGAATTTTAAGTGTGTTTAGCTGATTCAGTCCAGAACTAGTTGTCTGTCACATCACTTGCATACCTCCAGTATGAGGTGAAAATGTCACAAATAATTTTTCTGCTGTCAATCACTAATGTTAGGACCGACAACCATTCTCTGGTTACAGAAAAATGACAGAAAACAGGGGTTAGTGGAGGAGAAAACACCTGTTAAGTGCACAGGACAACAGGAATCACACCTGTTACCAAACACAGTGCAACTCTTAAACAAAGATTAATGCTGCAAAAAGAATTTAATCTTATTTTAATGTAAATCAAATTAAACTCCATGTTTCCATCTGGTATCAACAATCAGTATTGCTCCACTTGTGCCTGGTATTTAATGAGACCCATTAATTTAATATCCGTTCTTATTTGTTTTGTTCGTATTTATTGCCTTATTTGTATGACACACAAGTACTATTGAATCAACAAACCAGCTTTAGTCGCTTACATGTGAGTGGGAAATGAAGTGAATAAAAAGGATGTGGGTGGTAACTCCAATTTTGATAATCCATTTGTTTTGGTACAAAGCAACAAAGTTTATTTCTCCCAACAAAACCTATTATAATTACATGTTCAGTCAGTATACTGAGAATAGCTTGTGTATTGTGTCTATTTGAATGCATTCAACCATGAGTGCTTACACTGTGAAAGCAATCCGATTTAAAGAGTTTCAACTAAATCTGGAAGTAGCTAAAAGTGGACAAGATTATAGAAGACCCCATTTACACCTGTATTTAGAGTTGTCCACTCCTGAGAAGATTAATGAAAATGATTAGAGGCATCGTTTACTCAAATAAATGACAATCTACTCACAATTTACTCACCCTTAGGGGGTTCCAAACTATTTTAACTTTCTTTATTCTGATAACAGAGTATATGCAGGAATTCTAAAGGTCATTTCAATACCTTTTAAAAGACCTTCTGAGAATATTTTAAGTCCTCATCACCACTTCAAGTTCTAATCGGTATCAAACCTTTAACCAAATGAACAGTTGTAGTTAAATAAATCAACCATGCAACAGAACTCAGATAAGCTCTGAAGAAACCAAGCTTGAAATGAATTACACGGTTGTTTTCAGCGACAGGCTTCAGCCACTGTTTAAACTCGTCTTTCTCCAACCAGGACTACGCAAATTAAAATTTTCCCATTTTGCCGTCTGTTTTGCTCTATGGTTTCCCAACATGTGGAGAGCGTCACATCACCTTCCCGTGTTTGCAGCAAATTACGTGACATTACACGAACGGAGAAGCTTGGCCGGACACGCCCTAGCCTGAACCAATCGCATGAATCGAGCACGCCGTTGTTAATATTAGGAGGAATATAAATATATTCATGCTTTTTTGGAGTCAAAGACTTTGGACAATGCTTAAACAAAATTTAGGACCTCGTAAAACTGCGATTAAAGACTTTTTAATGCCTTTTAAAGGCCTTAATTTTCTCATAATTGAATAATCAACTTTTATTACTTTATAAGACCCTGCAGACACCCTGTGACTTTTAAAGAGAAAGGAAAACCTGTAACTACTGACTTCCATACTAGGAAAGACAACTACAATGGAAGTCAAAGGTTTTCAGCATTCTTCAAAATGGCCCCTTTTGTGTTCAAAGAAAGTCAAACAGGTTTGAAACCAGTAAAAGGAAAGTAAATGATGACAGGATTTTCAGTTTTGGGTGAACTATCCCTTTAAAACCATGTGTAAACAAGGCCAAAAACACTGATGGAGACAATTGGAAGCTTGTGTGCTTAAAGAAAAAAGATACCTGTGTATTTGGCAATGTTGTCCATTAATAATGGGTATTTGGTGAACCTCTGCATCTCTGCAGGGATGATGTCCTTTAGCTGTAGACGCCGACACAGTCGATTGCTTTCAGCCTCCTGCAAATGATGCAGAGATCATCAAACAAGAAATTGAGGACAGCAGTACAAGCAAATCCACAACAAAATCCTCCCTAATCTTTTGCATATTTCCTTGTTATCAAGAGTCTCCAACATCATGAATAATACACTTCGGTGTGGATTTTATCCTTCGCTCAAGTGCAGAAAGTAATCCTCTGCAAACCACAATATTGTGATCCGTCAGCAAGGTGTGTGAATGAATCCCCGATGTCTTTGTAAGCAACTTTGAAATCTCTAAATACCCCGTCGCAAATGCCTTCATGGTGTCCTTTAGAGGGAGTTTTTATATATTAAACCACACAATGTAATGATGAGTAAATGATGCCAATTTTGTATGATCTGCTTATTTGAAATGTCAAAAAGCTGTTTTTTCTGAAGTACACACTGATTAACACATTTCACAGACCCTGTGTATATTAAGAGGCTGTAAGCAGCAGGCATTATTTTCTGTTCCCTGCATCCACCTCTAACACATGATGAATTAAAACATTCTAAAACTGTACAGCAACACAAGCTCTCAACACTCTAAGGACTGAAACAACTGCATGTGCCTAAAGACAAGAAACTCTGATCTTCAAGATAAGCAGATCTGGCAGTGTATTCTACAAAATTAGCTCCAATTAGGCAAAATCTGTTTTGTCTTCCGTTTTCTCTGATGTTTAGCTGCCAGGCACAGCTGATACAATTAACAATTCAGATATTACTCATTTAAAGCACTTCTGCTGCTGTTTTTGTGCAGCTAAAATGACTCAAGACATCAATCAACTACATTTAAATAGCAATTAAAGCATGCATATATACAGCACATGTGCATATACATAAATGCATAAATAGAATCAAACAAACACACTTATTAATTGCATTAAAGTATCTTGTTCTTCATTCATTCATTCATTCATTTTCCTTCAGCTTAGCCACTGATTTATCATGGGTCAACACAGCAGAATGGACTGCCGCATTTTGTTCTTAAAAACACTAAATTACTTATTTCTATATAAAAAAAAAACACTTTCAAATTATGAAGAAATTTTGCTAATTACCTAACCGTGCACAATAAATCGTCAGAAACCACAGAACAACACTGCCTAGTGCCTAAACATATTATTAATAATTTAAATATCACAAAAAATTAATAAATTATATTAAAAAAAAATAGCAGTTCATAAATATACACATTCTATTACTCAAAGGAAACAAAGACTTTAAATGTATAATATAATTTTATTAAATTTTAGGATTCAAAATTCATATTATAACAAATAATTACTATTTTATGTCAAATTAGCATAATCATGCAATGATTTTTATGAATAATATAAGCTGTTTATAACAATATACAGTATTTGTATTACTTAATACTATTATAAACTTATTTATACTATTACTAGAATAATTAATTCTAATATTAATGACATAAATCTAATAATTATAACAACAAAAAACATCATATCAGGGATGTAACAATTTATTCACTTTTATGATGCATTGATTACAAATCTTGCCATTTTGCATATGAATCAATTTTGAAAAGTGTATTTTGAATCATGAATCGTTTTTCTATCAATAATCTATTTCATTTATGTGAAACGAACGAATCTCGATTATATGACGATGCACAATTGCAAAAATATTTCAGATATTACATTACTTGCATATGAGCATAGTCAGCTGCGCCCTTAGTACAGTGGTGCGGAGGGTTACGTCACTGGCACCTGTTTGTTGTGCTTTTTCGGTAAACTCAGCACTATACAGGACAACTTCGGTTTTCACAAAACAAATGGAAGAATTTACACGCCTTTTGCAGTTAGGAAACGATAAAAAAAAAACTCATGATAAGGTAAAGGTACTGTTGTGGCTATCCCTCATATTTTACTTTACACCAAACCTCCTCAGTTGCTACATATATTTTGTTTTAATAACACACAATTTGACACAACACAGGAAAAGGTATATTTTTAATTTTAAATTAAGTTTCTGTTTTAAACGTCTCTGACAACGATGCTCAAGTTTCTATTTTAGAATCTCTTACTTTTGCGATGTCTCGACTAGAGTAAAATAATATTAACAGCCCTACATCATATTATAGAACAAAACTGACGCTGCAGCTCTGGTTACCCTATGGCCAGAGCAAGGAGTATCAACCCACCTGCATGAAGGAGGAGAAACGTTGGTCCTTCTTCTGTCGGGATTTGATGAGCTCCAGGGCGAAGGGCTGGTTACTGCAGAAAGTGCCCACTGCTTGCTTGATCTTCTCCTCCTCTCCACTGCTGAACTAGAAAACAACAAGCCAGAGGATACATGGGTGAGTGGGAGTCTCATCACCCAGACAGGGCCCACCACATTTTACCAGCAAAACAAAAGCCCTTACCCAAGACAACAACTCGTCTCCTATGTGGTCGATTACAGACGTCTCGTTCTTCTTGCAAATTGCTGTCATTTGATCCACTATTCTCACTGAAATTTAAAAGAGCAGATGCCATGAGACATGTGGCTTGGATTATTTATATGAATGTTAGTTTGAAGAAAAAAAAAAAGCATACCGTGGAGTTGGATGATTTCCTCCAGGTTGGTGAATATGTACTTGATGTCAGCAGGGGGCAGTATGTTGTCTCGGTTGAGTTTCTGGTAGAAGACCTTGTCTAGGACCTTCAACATGCGTACGTGAGCTCGCTCCGTGTAGAACAGCTCTGAGAGTATCAGACAGACAGGGATTTGGGGGATACAAAACACTGGATGAATAAAAAAAAAAAAACTAACCAAAACATTATTTTACCACGTCTCGTAAAAACATCACACCAAATATATATATTGCACATTTTCACCTCCAACATTTACCACAAAAATTTAACTTTTTTTTAATCAGTTGATGCTGATAATTAGCATAATAAATGTCAATAAAAAACTGTCAATTCTGACAATATGTCAGAAACATGCTAAAGAACATGAATACAAAAATGAAAATGCTGCTAACATTTTATCATCCTTCACTTGCTCCAAATTTGTTTGACTATCCTTGTTATGTAACACACAAATTAAGATATTTTGAAATAATCTGTAACCATTGATTACATAGGATTTATTTGTCCTACTATGTTGTAGATTTGAAGCTTTCTTTAAAATGTCTTCTTCAGTGTTCAACAGAATAAAAAAACTCGAAGATTTAAAGTAAATATTGAGCACTTTCTTATATTTGGGTGAACTACCCCCTTTAACCAGATGACTATTATTCCTTTAAAACATATCTACATTTATACACAAAAGAAATATGAATAACATGATCTCCCAATTCTGCCATAACAACATGAGTACCAGTTACTGGTACTACAGTAAATCTGTGAAGTCAGTAAGTCTTCTTAACCGTCTTTTTTTTAGGGATTCTCATGTTTGTTTCAACTAGATTTAAACAAAAATCCCAGAGACATTTTGTGTTCTCATTTAATTCGAATTCTTGCCTTTAGAGCTGCTCACATGATCTATTCGAAACCTGTCTGAGAACATATAAATAGCCTATATGGAACAAATGACTAGCGCAGTTTAGTGAAGTATATGCATTATGCCATTTATCAAACATGTATTAATGGGTTAGTTTACCCAGAAATCATTATTAAACCTCATGTCATTTCAAATCCCTGATACTTTTGTTGCTCTTCAGAATACACACTGACAAAATCTTTTAAATGTGCACCCTGACACTAGCTATGTTTCCATTCAAAAATGAGAATTAACTTTATGCGCAAAACAGGAATATTGCTTAAAAGATGTGCAAATAAACGTTCCATCCAACGAGTAAAAGTGAACTTATTTAACTGCCGCTAAATTTCAACATTAAAAACAGAATTTACTGCGGTAGAAGAAACAGCATGAATCTTTTCCCTTTTTAATAAATGACTTGTATCTCCGAAGACAATGCCGACATGCAATGAACGTGTGGTGGCATTTGAGGCAATGAGACGCAGAGGGCAGACGCTCTTGACTATTTTGGAGGTAATTAATATTCTAATAACACTAACACTGAAATAGTGAAGGTGTTTCAGAATGACCAAAACAACATTTCAGATGTGTTACAGTGTGCTCAGCTAGCTGGTCTGTCCATTCACACACATTTTAATCATCACATGATCTCTTACAACAAAATCGCACGACCTTTTTTAATGTGCATAATGGAATTTGTTTGGTAAAAATGTTATATCGTAGTTTATGCGCATCTTTTCTTATTGAATAATTATAGTTTCTTATAGTATCAAAATAGGTGGATGGAAATGTAGCTACTGACACTGAGGAGATGAAACTGTCAAATAAATAAAGTCATTATTTTTGTTTTGTGTGCAAACAAAAGTATTCACATAGCTTCATAATATTCTAATTCAACTACTGAATGCATATGGTCTGTTCTGAGGATGTTTCCTGAATAAGTAGGGAGACTATGGAGGATGAGGGAGCTCTCAGATTTTACCTGAAGTATCTTAATTTGTGCTCTTAAGATGAACAAAAGTCTAAGGAGTTTGGAATGAAATCAGGATAATTATTGACAGAATTACATTGTGATAAATAATGTAGCTTTTTTATCACAGTTACATGTCGAAATACTTAAAAGTATTAAGAATACATCTGATAAATGAAAACCAAAAATCTAGTCAAATGCATTGTGCAAATCCAACCTACAAATCAAGAGTACTTGTCTTGATTCAACCAACCCAAAAATGTGTCTTAACCAACATTTTCACAAAACTCCAAAAAGCTATGACTCATTGTACATTTTACTGTTACACTGCCTTGAAATGTGTTAAAAATGGCATCACAGGCACATTTTTTTTCATGAGCCAGTGTTGTGATTCACATAGTGAAAGGTGAACAAGACTGTACCATTAATGACTTCTTGTCTCTTGATCTCGTGGGGCGTCAGGCCTGCTAAAACATCACGCCCGACCAGCTGCTGCCAGTTTGGAGGATCTACATCAGAGTAAACATCACTCCCCTGATCATCCTCACTCTGCAGATCCTCAAACCTGTGAGGGAGGAGATGCTACATAGATTAACGCTCCTATTAATCGAAATGTGCAACTCTATTTAAATATGAGACTTGCTGCATAATGTTTCCTTAAAAAAAGAGCTTAATGGTGTATTTCAACCAAGTGTTAAGCAATAAAAATGAAACTAAACTGACCCAATCAGACAATATTTAATGTTTATTATACATTTATATAGGTCACCACTTTAAACATACAAGTTTATATGATCAGGTACAAAACAGAAAGCACAGGCAATAGAGCAAATGTTCTCATCACAGCTGGTTAGGAAGGAAATAAATAGCTTTTATCGACTGTGACTTTATCAAGTCTCTTCTGGTTAGGACACGGTGTATTTAGAGTGATGTGAGTGATTGACAGAAGCAGTGACCATTACCTTCTGCTCGGTTTAGGTGTGCCCACATCAGGAGGTCTAAAAAAAAAAAAAAAACGGTACACAGATGCTTGCTAAGATTAGCAGCTAAATCAATAGTATTGGTTTTATTGTATGCACAAATCACACACTGTTTATTTTACTTTATCTATTTACCTGGTTTAAAACAGTAGGCAATGTAATATATTAATTGATAAACAACTGGTAAAACAATAAACTCCAATAATTCCATATTTCAATAATGCTTAAACCTTTAAGTTATTCTGAGTTTTGGGTGCGTATTTAAACGGACATATACACATAAATAATAATAATATTTAAAGACAGTGATCTTGATGGGTTTTTTCAAACTAATTTTGTCCTAAATTAGCATAAAATGTTATAAAACCAATCAAATGCTTTCATTATAATGTTAGATGTGTGCATTTTTAAAGTGACACCTGTTATTTGATTGTAATAAAAAAAAAAACGAAATAACTAAGAGATTCATTCGTTGCTCTTTATTCAGAATGTGTTAGTTATACAGTGAAGAACGGCTAATTAGATTTGATAGCTTGATTCTATTTCCTCATAATAGCTATTTTAATAAGCTGAACTTTTTGCTAATGTATTTGCTGCTAATGTATACTATTTTAAAAAATTTTTGTAAACAATAATAATAAAAGATATTACTGACCAGTAAACTGTTTAATTACAGCTAAAAAGCTCCAAATGAACTTAGTAATTTGGGGGATTTTTTAGGGGGGGGATACACCTTATTTTCAAATCCTAGTGTTGACAGGTATGGAAATGACGCTACCTGGTGACGTGGAGCCGATCTATGAATCACAGCACATTATGTTAGCTGATCAATCTGAGCCTCTTGTGGGTGGGCTTTTGGGAAAAAAACTAGGAAATATGATTGTCGTTTTTATGTTAGCTGAGTAGCAGTATATAATTAAAGTAAGCGGATAAAAAAACGCACATTATTTTCTACAAGTGAAGCATGAGCACACACTGCTTTGCATCTTATAAACACAACCAAACCATAAAAATACACTCTGAACCACCCCTTTAAGTTTGTTTAGTCACAATTATCATTTAATAACATAATGGCCTGTTTCCACTGAGTGGTACAGTATGGTACGTTTCGGTTTGGTACGCTTTTATGGTCGTTTCCACTGTCAAAAAGCGTACCGAACTAAACCGTACCACTTTTTCGGCACCCTTTCGAAAGGGTACCAAACAGGAGAAAGTATACCTAAAGGTGGAGCTACACGTGCAGCTGAACGCTGATTGGTTACAAAGATACGTCACGAACTCGTGGAGCTACACAGAACGTAAACAAAGGAACCGCCATGATTTTTTAATACAAAGCCAAGACATTAACTTACATGAAAATACTACATGCATGACCTGGCCTCAAACAAACCTTCACGTCGTCTCGATGAACAGACACAAAGCCAAGAAGAAAAATCTGCTGTGTCCTGTTGTTGTTTTACGAGCCCGTCTAAAAGTGCGAGCGGTATTCGCTTTCTTCTGGGAGCTTGCGACCACGTCTATATTTGATATAACAGTTAACGAACTTCTTGAGCTGATGATAATAACGTGAGTGCGATTGTAGAAGTGTCTCCGTCATCTGATCCATTCAGAAAAAAGGACAAGCACGAGAGTGAAGCGGAAGTGACAAAATTACTCTCTAACAGAGCTTACATGTGCTGCTGAAGATTACAGAAACAGATGAGAGGTTTGCTCTGACCGTGGGCTATATTGCGTGTGTTTTTGAACTCAAATAAGTACTAAATGTTTGCTGTGTGTAATTTTTCAGTAATTAATAATATATCGAAGACTGTAAGAGGCTGTATGTGTTCATATATGTTGCATTTATTTATTTATTTTATATAATTGCAGTCGTTACAGTAGCCTATTTCGCACTGTAATTGATCTGCAGTTATAATCCGATCATGTTCATAGACAAGTTAGTAATAAACATTTATGAACAAGTATTTATGTGTATAAAGCATCTGTTTTAAGAGAAGTGCTGCTCATTATGATGTGTGAACGACCCATACAGCTTTACTGTAGACATTTATTCGAGCGAGCATGACGTCGACTTAAACTTTATGTCGTACACCACGCCCACCAAAAGGGTACCCTTTGTGGTGGAAACGCAAGCCTGATAAAGGAGACCCGTACCGACCCGAACCGTACCGTACTGTACCAGTCAGTGGAAACGAGACATAAGTGTTCTCTCATAGTCTCATTTAGCCAAGAGAAAAAAAAATATGGTTTTTAACCAACATTTTATCATGGATTTATTTACTGACATTAAAATGATAGATTTTCAAAAAACAGTATTTCCTGCTAATTTACTCACTCCCCGGTCTTCCAAGGTATAGGTGTTTGCATTTTTGGGTGAACTCTCCTTTAAAAATTTCTCAAAAATCAGCAAAATCGGTCTTGGATTTACACCCTAATGTGAAACTAGGCCAGGCAAACCAGGCATTCTCTGCTGCATGTGCTTTTTGTAGTATGTACCTGTCTCCATCTCTGTCTTCATCCAGCTGGTCCACGTTGTATGGGATGTAGTCACAGGGTGGGTAAATGCTGTCCAGTGGATCTCCAGACTGCAGCCCATCACTGAGCCGAGGAACCACCGCAGACGGGCTCATATCTGAACACAAAGAAGAGCCAGTCTCAGATTGATCACTTAAAAAATAAACAGAACAATCACTCTGAAGATGCGGTACTCACTGAACTCAGAGTCCCTGCCAGAGGGGTCTGACGGTGAGCTGTAGGGGGCACTAAAGGGGGAAGAGGTGATCAGTCCTGGGCTGTGGAGCAGGTCTGAGCCCTCACTTGACTGACTGCCCCTCAGACGTCCGGCATCGATCAGCTCTGAGCCGCCCAGTGCCGGCTGAGACATCTGCTTCTGAGGTCTTTGCTTGATGCTGTCCCCGACCCTACCAGCTGCTCAAACACACACCAAACACCATTAGCATAGATACTAAACTTTCACCACATAGAGGAAGGAAAGCAAAATCAAGTATACTGATATGAGAAAAAATAACTGCCAACAATCAAAAAACATTCAGGCTTAGCACTAAATACACAGAAGTTCAAAATATGTGTTTTACAAACACCAATGCTTTATTAGCACATGTTTTTGTTGCAAATTGTTAAAATACAATTTTTTTTTTTTTTTTTTTTTTTTGCTTTAAAATGTTATTTACTTCTTTATGAGAAAAGTTAATGACATTATTCATCAGAATATGCTTTGGTGCTAAGAACACTTAAATATCAATGTTGAAAAAAAGGATAATAAAAATAAAGTTTAACAGCAGACCATTTAAAAATGTATTATACATTATAAACATAGTCACTGTATTTTTGTCTTGCTGAATAAAAGCATTCGTTTCAGGAATAAAGTATTAAAAATGTATTTTACAAACCTCAAACTTTTGAGCAAGAGTAATATATTTTAAAGGGGTGGTCCATATCATATTTTAAACTTTAGTTGAGGTGTAATGTAGCTGTGTGAACAAAAACAACATCTCTGAATGTAAAATGCTCAAAGTTCAATACAAAGGGAAACATTGGTTTTTACAGAATTAGCTTAGCAAAGCCTACAGCAGACAAAGTTTGGGGACTACAAAAAATACATCCGGGTTAGTGAGATCACAATCGCGTCAGGTTACCCGCATTCAGCACGTGCACAAACACAGAGCAGCGAAGGGGCGTGGCCTGAGGCGCTGTAATGTTAGAGTAGAAAAAGCTAAAATGTTGTCTAAACGCTGATATTTTCACAGAGCTCATTCTGTCTGTATTTGAGCTTCCAAAGGACACGACACAAAAAGAGAAGTGTTTACATTTTAATTATGTTGCAGAGAATTCTAAAATAAATATATAGCTAGTATTTGACAAAACACAGCTTCCAGAATTCAGAGCTCTCCCAGTTCAGTGCTGGATTCGGCTAAAAACCGAATCTGTGGATTGGGAAATCCGAAAGCTTTGGACTGACATCACATAACCTGTAAGTATTTTCATTTGTTAAAATTGATCTACTACATGCATAGTGTCTAGCGTTAACAGTATGTTGTAGAAAGGACATAAACAAGCCAGTAAACAACAGGAAATGCTGTTTGGCACCGCTAACAATTCAGCTACAAATTCATATTTATCAGTCAAACCGCTGTAAATACCCACAATCTTCAGCAGCACTGCAGTGTCTTTCTATGTGGCCGCTTTCCCTGCGTTACACATCTCAAATATCGAATTTGCAAAAGAAATGTGAACATTTCATATTACAAGCTTATTCCGAATATATGTGAAAGACACAGATTTTATTTTAGAGAGCAGGCATGAGGTTCAGCTGTGTCCTTTTTATTTTCTGTCTGATTCAGACAAACTGATATGGCTAACAGCCACTCTGACTGACAGTATTTACACAGCAGAGGCACAGTGCGTGCTATTAGAGTATGTTAGCTGACCAATCAGAGCTTTTTGAGGGCAGGCCTTCAGAGGAACTTGTCGTTTTCATGTAAGCTGAGTAGCTGTATATAATCAAAATAAGATATATGAAAAAAATAACGTGATTTTACAAGTGAAGCCTGAGCACACACTGCTTTGTATCTTATAAACACAATAAAGCCTTAAATACACTCTGAACCACCCCTTTAAATATGATACGTTATTGATATAGCCCATAAAAGGCATTTTTAAAAGTCCTGAAATCGATGTTATCTTAGTTTTTAATTTAATTCAACTTCACTGTAAAGTCTGTAACATATTTAAACAAACAAATAAAGATTCAGGCAACTAGGCCAGGAAACAATATATATGTTAGGTATATTTTCTCCAAAAATCCATTGTTTAATGTTGTGAATACTTAAAATAAAAAAAGATCAAAGCTTTAAAAAATGTTTTCAATAGCTCCAGGTTGTAGGACTTTTCGTTCGACTTACATGGTACTGAATCGAGGCGACCGGGCCACCGCGGGGGCACCCGGATGGGGAAGCGAGACTTTTTTAGTTTCTCCTCCCCATCCTTTTCTGTTTTGCTTTTCTGTTCAGGAAGGATAAAACAACAATCCTCAGGGTAACAGCATTACCATGGTAAGACTGAAGATAATTACTCAGTTCCAAACCCTAGTTAACTGCTTATAAGGGCATCATTTCAAGACATAATTTGTGTGGTAATTATGCTAGCTCTTAAAGAGACAGCACACCCAAAAAATTAAAATTCTGTAATTTACTCATCCTCTACTTAGTCCAAACCTGAATTACTTTCTTCTGTTGAACACAAAAAAGATATTTTGAGAAATGTTGAAGTCATTGGTTTCTTTTTTATGTTTTCCCCTTTACAGATTTTAACAACTACCGCTTTCCAACAATCTTCAAAATATCTTCTATTGTGCTCAAATATTGAGTCAATTCATTTTTGGAAGATATATCTTTTAGGTTGCGTAAAACATTTCAAGAAATGGCACATACCCTTAGTTTGGAAGGAAGGAAATTAATTCGAACTCGTTTGGATTCCAGGTTTCGTTGTTCTTTCGCCCGAACTCCCAGATGCTTCATGTACATGAAGATCACATACTGTATAGTGGAGCTGGAAGAGACCAAACTCAGATTTAGGGCTAAACTGAACTCTTCCCTCACTCTCTGTCCAACTAGAGCACAGCGATGAGCATCGAAGTCTTTCATTTCCTAATTTAGATTTGAGTCTCAGAGGGTTGTCTTGTGCATGTTGAGTGCTGTTGGCTCCATGTGGTCGACTCCTTCTGTTCCACATGACTCCTATCTTATTGTGCCTTCTGCCATATGTCACAAAACACGTGCACGAGTTTCCCCATCTATCTTCTCGCATATGTCCTGTACATTCATAAATCATACAAGCTTGTGGTGTTTCCATATGGCATCTCAAATATGTTTGCCTAAATTATGGTAAATGAGGACTAGGAAATGCATGAGGATTACAAATCTCATTAAGTCGCTCTGTTCGGCAGCATCTTGCATTTGTGTCAAGTGTCAATGTGCTGGAACCCCAAGCTAACAATTTACAAACAAATCTGACACAATGTCTTTAAGCACAATCAAATACTGTTCATCCATACTATAATTAGGGAAGATTATTATTAATGAGGTTTGCGAAAGGAAAACAAAATATTCTCACCATTTCTCCTCTTCTGTGGGTTGTGAAGTCAACCTGTTAGAGAGACACATGCAAGATGAGGGAAAGCAATGCAGGATATAATCCTAAGTGTGTTAAATAGTGCTGGACGGTGTGTCTTTTCACTAATATAATATAATATAATATAATATAATATAATATAATATAATATAATATAATATAATATAATATTTATTTTCTTGTTGGCTTAGTCCTTTTATTAATCCGGGGTCGCCACAGCGGAATGAACCTTTAACTTATCCAGCACGTTTTTACGCAGCGTATGCCCTTCAAGCCACAACTCATCTCTGGGAAACACACACACACACACACACACACTACGGACAATTTAGCCTACCTAATTCACCTGTACCGCATGTCTTTGGACTGTGGGGGAAACGGGAGCACCCGGAGGAAACCCATGCGAACGCAGGGAGAACATGCAAACTCCACACAGAAATGTCAACTAAGCTGAGGTTCAACTCTTTGCCTTTATTAGATAGGACAGTATTGAGACAGGAAGAGAAGTGGAAGAGAGAGGGGGTAGGGTAGGGAAATGTCGTCGAGCTGGGATTCGAACTCGCGACGCCCTGACGTGCTATTGCACCATATGATGGCGCGCTAACCACTAGGCTATTGCGCCGACAATACCATGCAAATTTTAATGGTGTGTTTTATAATTACATGAATAAAAATATATCAATTAATACATTTTTTATATTTTTTCATCATGTTGAAAAAAACTGCTACAGTAGTGTACATACAGCAGTAATTGGGTAAAATAAATAAATTGTAATTGTGAATTTTTAGTTTTAAAAATATCAAAATTTAAAACAGAGTATTATTAGCTATCCTTTAAACAGCGTTTCTTCAGGTTTCACCAAGTTAAATTTAAGACTTAAGACATTTTTAAGACCATTATGAATTAAATTTTAGACTTATACTTTTTTAAATATCCCAATTAAAAAAAAGATTTTCACTTGCCCTGTAAAAAAAATGTTAATATTGAATAAATTTAATAATACAATAATATTAATTTTGTTAGAATATTTACAATTCATTTTCAAATATATGCATTAGCAAACTTTATAACCCTTACCAAAAACAGAACAAAACATAGCTGTCAAATACTTGTCTACAATAATGATAATTTATTAATAAAAAATATGGGTCAGTATCCTCAGCAGTAAAAAATGTTACTGTAAGAAAAGTAATTAAATGCTATATTTAAATAAAAAGTTGTAAAAATCAAAATATTGAGATGGATTGTTGGCGACTGTGTGGCTGTTAATTGCCAAATTGGGTAGCAATACATGAACAGACAAAAATTAAGACCTGTTAAAAAAAGATTTAAGACCTACAACACAACATTTCAGTAGATTAAAGACTTTTTAAGGCCTAAAATGTAGCTTTTGAAGTTTAAGACTTTAAGACCCTGCAGATACCCTGTTTAAAGGCTGTGAAAGATTGCAAAAGTAATTTATTGTTATGAACTGAAGGGGTAAGAACACATAGTTTTGTTTATTATCATCAGCAAAATCAATGTAAACATATAATAAATATTCTATATATAGCCCAGCCTAATGCAGAGTGATGATCAGAGTGTGTGTGTGAGGCTCTCACAGAACGTCATCTATCTTTGAGAGGATGCTTTCAGCACAGGCTCTCTCTCTGTCTACAGCCAGCTGTTCAGAGTCCAGACGAGACAGCTCTGTATCCGCCAGGGTCAAGCCCATACTACGCTTCTGCCTGCAAGAGTGCATGCAGGACATTTAAAGGTGATTTTGTCATTGGGTTACAGTCAATCTCAATAATAAAACAAGTGACAGCGCAGGTAAGCTATGAAAGATGTCAGTATTCCACACCTGAAGTCTTCCAGGTTCCTCTGTACATCAGGAAAGAGAGTTTCCTGCATTGTCTGTATGTACTGCCTGTGTAATTCCTCAGGAATCAATTCTGGTCTCCTCCGCTCTGACAACACAAACAAAAATCAAGTAGTCACACATATGTTATTTCTTTATATTGACTTAAAGCTGAGTAATAAGTAAAACACTGAGGCGTCGTTATACTAGAGCGATTTTATTTTAAAATGTCGTTTTAGAATGAAAATGCTTGTCATCCAGACTACTGTTTATTGCGCTTCAGAAAAACGATCTCAGTCAACACTTAACAACCTAGAACGCATGAAACATGACAACTGATCACACTGGAAATGCACACTTTTTGACTTTCTGCAACTGAACTTGTAGTCTACCTGTTGTGTAATTATCATAAGAAAGGGCTTTTATAAATAATGAGATATGCAACTGAAGCCCAGTCAGAAAGTTAATGTGGATAGCCACACCTCCATATTAAAACTGCACTTTTTCCTATCCATAATGAAATGTTCCGCCAGCAATTACAAACTAAAATGGGGTCTTCAGGTTGGCACCAATAGGCTAGGTAGTTAGTGCGTCAACACAAAGCACTGAGGTGCTTGAGTTCAATTCCTAGCTCAAGGTCCATAATCATCACTTTCCCGTCCATTAAACGTGAAAACCCCTGTCATAAAAAAGGGCTTCAGCATCTTCATACTGGGAAAACAAATCTTTTTTAAAATGCTGATGTACTATAGATGCCCGGCATAATATGTAAATGAACTATTGTAAATAGCACCTGAGTACCTGAAGCACCACCAAAACATTCAGACTTTGGGGTCTGGCAACTGTCAGGCAGGCTGAGCCAGAGGTTGTTTAGCCCATTTGGTAATGTGTTGATACAGTTATTTCTACTGTAACTAAGTGTGATTTGTATTGCAGGGATATATTTACATGTTTCCACTGAGTAATGAGATGCACTTGATCTTATTGCGCAAGCATATAACATAAAAAAGGCAATAAAAGGCATTCTATTCTATTCTGGCTGATAGGGCTGTGCTATTTGGGGAAAATATCTAATTGCGATTTCTTTAACAAATATTGCGATTTGACTTAAAATTTAATTCAAGCTTCAGCTCAATAATCTGTAAGCCGTGGCAACAATTCTGTGACAGCTCTTAAAAATGACCAGTTTTTGTTCAGTGTCTGTGACTTTGAAAAAAAAAATATTACCATTAAACGAATGCTGTTTTTCTTTGATATTAATGCTTCGGAAGCATCAGACGCCATAATCCCACTTGTCAGCGCTTTCCTGTACATTTTCTTTTTTTTATTGTGGGCGTAGTTCGGTTGCGCAATTCTGATTGGGCAGAACAAAATACGCTCACTCAAATGGCTAGTAAGACTGTCACACGCATTTGCTCTGGGCAGGGGATATATATATATTTCATATCGCAACCTCTTAACTAATCGCAGCAATTCAAATTGCTATTGCGATTCAATTTCGATTAATTGCACAGCCCTAATGGCTGACACATAAATCCATACGTCAAGTTTTTTAACGTGTGCAGGAACCTGCATAAAGTGCAAGCTTTTCGTCACTAGAACAGAGTATGTATACAAATTGTTACCAAGTGTACAAATGTAGGTGCAGTTCGCACAATCGCTTTTAATTGTTTTTGCACTACTCAGCTTTCAACATTTCAAACATACACCACTGTTGCACAGTTTGAATAGAATGTTCAGATTTCTTTAACCTGTTTTCTGATTTAACATCAGCTGCTAGAACATGAATTGAGAAATTATTTTCTCGGTTATTAAAAGATAAAAAGATTTTTGAAATAGTTGTAATCTTTTTGAATATATTGCCAAGCTTGTTTACAAATCGTTTTTCCAAAACACTTCAGCAAGGTAAGTATACTCAAACATGTCTCACAAAAAACATAACACACCCATTTATGATCCGTAAACAACCTGCATGAACAGAAACGGCTCATTTGGACCATAGAGAAAGTAGGTGTCAATACACATGTTGTCTTTAAGCAGTGTCAACATGACACACAGGGCAGCGTGACCAAGAACTTCAGAAGCTAAATCCATAATTACATGGAAAATCAACATGTACATTAAACAGGATTTGTGCTTTCTGAACAATTGCAGGTTTCCCACTGTGAGCTGAGAAATGATTATGCGGTTGGACGCTGAAATGAACACTGCAAGGGTGAGAATGGGTTTTGTGCTTCTAAAATTAACTCCGCTTACCGAGTTCAGACGAGATGGATTCAGGCACAGTGACTTTCAAATTCTGTTGAACAAAAATAATAATAAATTAAAATGTTTCTGACAAAACAGTCGGTTTAATTTTTTTTGCCTGCAACGAAACTACAAACATTAAAATAACAAGGTAACCAAACAGTTCTAGGAAGAAAAAAACATGTCCAATTTCCATCCATCTGGCAGAAAGAGAACAAAGTTCGCTGCAGGGAAGACTCGCACCCACTCACAAACACACAGAGTTGGAGAACAACAATATGTGATGACCGTGGAGGTAAAAGGTTGTCTGAGAGCGCTCATGCTTCCTGACCCTGAGGCTGCTGGGAAAGGAGTAACCCTCCACACACCTCTCGGGACAAAAGGCACAGTTGATCTGGGTGGATCAGGCTTTTGCCTTAACATGCCCAAAGACCAATTGACACCAAGGCAGTGCAGACAATGACGGGTTTGAGCAAGAAGAGATGAGCTGCGAAAAGCTCCACTTACTGCCCCCCGGTCTATGAAGAACGTCAAGAAGTCCGTGAAGATGCGCCGAGTTTCTTTGGAGTTGGTCTGTTTGTAGAGGTCAGCATACAGATAGCAGAGCTGTGGAGAACAGTGAGAGATAAACAGAATGATATGAGGATTTGTACTACGTTATAATTTATTCAAATACTAAAATATTTACTTTTACATTACAAATCAGTAAAAAGGTGTTTTGAAAAAAAAAAGGTATAATTGAGAAAAAAAATTTAAGTTTTAATAGTGGCTTTTCTTTTTTTCAAAACTGACAATAATTCTTAAATTTGTTAGTTTCTATACTGTCTCTAAATTCTGAATTTCTTTCTCAGAGGATCTGTATTACTTAAGAATATATTGAAATAGAAAGATTTACTTTTTCTACACAAATTAGTGAAAAAAGGTGGTATAATTGAGAAAAAAGTCTGATTTCCAAGCTTTTATCTTACAATTGTTGCTTTTCTTTTCAGAACTGCAATTATTTCTTGAATTTGTTCATTCATATGCACTCTCTAAGTTCTGACTTTCTTTATTAGAGAATTTGTATTACTTTAGTATTTATTAAAATAGAAATGAGTTACTTTTCCTTCACAAATCAATGAAAAAAATGGTATAATTGGGTGAAAAGTCAGAATTTTAAGCTGTTCTCACAATTATAGCATTTCTTTTCTTCAGAACTGACATTATTCCTTCAATTTGTTAGTTCATATGCTTTCTCTAAATTCTGACTTTCATCCTCAGGGGATGTGTATAACTTCAGTATTTATTAAAACAGAAAAACAGTTACTTTTCCTTCACAACTCTGTAAAAAAGATAGTATAATTGAAAAAAAAGTGTGAATTCTAAGCTGTTTAGAATGTCTAAGCTACAAATATTTCTTGAATTTTAGTTTAAATGCTCTCTCTAAATTCTGACTTTCTTCCTCAAAGGATTTGTTTTACTTTAGTGTTTATTAAAAAAAAAAAAAAAAGAGTTACTTTTCCTTCACAAATCAGTGAAAAAGGGTGGTTTTATTGAGAAAAAAAGTCTGTATTTTAAGCTTTTATTTTACAATTGCAGCTGTTTTTTCCTTCCGAACTGACATTATTTGTTCGTTCATATGCTCTCTCTAAATTTTGACTTTCTTCGTCAGAGGATTTGTTTTACTTTAGTGTTTATTAAAAAAAAAGTTACTTTTCCTTCACAAATCAGTGAAATAAGGTGGTATAATTGAGAAAAAAATCTGAATTCTAAGCTTTTAACTCACAATTAGGACTTTGTTTTCATCAGAACTGACATTACTTCTTGAATTTGTTCGTTCATATGCTCTCTCTAAATTCTGACTTTCGTCCTTCAAACTACAAGATACAATGTGGCTATTCCAAGTTTATAATATATTATATACAATTATGTAATATTTTGCAATTCAATGCGATTCTGTGGCAAATAAAATAGCATTTTCTGATCTGAATTATTATTTGCAATAAACAACTTGAATAATTTAGCTTTTAGCAGGAAAAGGTGGCGTAAAAAAAAACATGCTTAAAGCACTTCAAAACAACTCTCAGGGATATTTTTAGTCCATTTAATATCTAAAAGCACAACCAACACTAGTCATGCTAGCCTTAGCAAGCACGGTTAATTACAGCTGAAACTCACCAGAGGTGCAGGGTCAAACTGAGAGATCACATGATGCAGAAAAGCAGCAAGATGAGCAGGTCGAGTCTTGAGCAGCTGGATGCTCTGGAAGCAGCTGCACTGGCCATTAACCTGGAACACATCAGATCATGTTTAGATTCAAAATCACAGTCTGAGCGCTTAGAAAAAGAAACTGAGAATACCTGCTCCTGCTCAGAGTCAAAGTCATCATCTTCAGCAGCAATGATCTCAGAAACCAAACGTGGGCTCCCTACGGTGGATGGGAATCGAGAATCCTACAACCAAAAGTAGTGGAGTGTGTAAACTGCATTTGCATGAATTCAGGCACTAAAGTCTATCAGAAGCAAAAGTACTTACCAGGTCAGAGCCGTAGTCAACTTCAGGAGAAGGGCAGGAGTTGAAGCTGTCTCTGGGGGTACTTTTCGGACTGGAACAGTTAGAGTCCCGCTGACTCTCTGGAGAAGCTGGGTAGAAGCGCCGGTGGACCTGAACATCACACACACACACACACACCATAAACACAATTAATTACACCACTGGGAAGGTGACCCACTGAGTAAACTCAAGATAAGTGCCACTGTTTAACTGAGATCAGTGAAAAATTCTCAGAGAAAAACTACACTTACAGATGGCACTGAATTTCCGCTCCAAAAAGCCTCTGGGCTGAAATCTCTCTTATATTGATCCTCTTCCGCCCATGAGCCATCTTCACTGTTCCTGAGACACGGACTCTCCTATAGAGCATAGATGGGCATTTCTGAAGCCAACAGTCTTCTAAATAGCGGTCAATCAATATAATCAATCAGATCAGTAGACTATCATTGAGTATGTTTAATGAACAACCGTATACGTCTAAAAAAAAATAGAAAATTTAATTACCATGTGGCATTGATTGTGTGTGTGAACTTGGTTACGTGTGATGTTGTCACGTAACCAAGATTCAGAATTTTAAACATTACGCAGAAAAAACATTTATTTCCACTGAGGAAAATAGAGATGCTGCTTGCTGTCATGTCCGCTTTGGCATTAAAAGGCAAAGCCTCAGCTTTGAGAGCAAAAAATGAGAGCAAACATGAACAAATGGAAGGACAGAGTAACGAAGGCTTTAAGGGATACTGAAAAAGCACATTTGAATCGAAAAGAAGAACAAAAACCAGGGAAAAATCCACTGAAAAGGTGAGTGGCCAGCGCAATTGTGTACATTTCTAAATAAACCACAATATTTAGCTATGATGTATGCACTTTATGTACTTATTGTTGTATTTATTTATCGTTTATTATTAATAATTGATTGTTATGGCCTGTACAGTAAGGTCTAAGTATTGTACATTGTTTATACTGTATTTTCTGTTTTTTAAATAATAATAATAATAATAATAATAACAACAAACTTGAAAAAATGTTTAATATTAACATGAAGTTTCTGTTACTGTATTAAAACTAAGATAACGTATCAGATTTTTTGAGGTTTAAAACGATTTGATATAAAAAAATTCAAGTGATGTACTGTTCTTCCACATGTGAGAAATATAAATCACAATAACTTGTGATTTTTAATATTGTCACTGAAAATTGTATCTCCTTAGAATTGAGAATCTTCAAGTAAAATAAAAATATATAATATAATGTTTATATATATATATATATATATATATATATATATATATATATATATATATATATATATATATATATATATGTGTGTGTCTCAAGGCCTCAATTATTAGAAGGCAGTTGTAGCAAACCATATTCTGGTGCATTTTGGATAAATGACATGTATCATATGGATATATCAGGGGAAAAATGAAAACATTAAACAGATATGATGTAATGTAGAGGATTTGATCTGAATATGACTAATACTGATCAAAAAAGTCATGTGGAATGTGTTTTTTGCCTTCCTGGATGTCCCGTAGTGGTTTGGGTGTAGGGGTTCTGCTGTAGTCCTCTTTTAGTCCCTGAAGAATCAGTACATTTTCATTTACTATATACTCAGACCTCTTATGCTAATGATACACAGGGCATAATTTGTTACAATGTTGCTTGGCTACTTTCCTTTTAAGAATAAGCAACAGTATTTTATCTGTAACCCATTGCCCTAATTAAATGCCCCATGTCTCACCTGGTGTCATCCATATTAGACTCGCAGATAAATAAAAAGCAACAGGCCAAAAAACCACTCCGACATGTTACTCTGCTCTGTTACTCCAAGCTTGTATTTACTAAATTATAGGTCTACTATTAGGAAGTCTTAGAATGACAGCGCTTTGTTTACAAGTTCTGAAAGGTGGTAAAACTGCACTGTTGAGTAATAATGGGAGGAGCTTAAGTTTGCCCTCACATTTATCAGCCAACGGAGCTGTAAATTACCTCCAACAGGATAGGCCTCATTCTTATCAACATAAGTCATACAGAAACATTACAGCACTGTAACTCAACACTTTACTGACAGAAATACTTTGTCATATTGAAAGCAGAATAGGTGTAAGCTTTAAACCTGTAGTCTGATATTTAGATTCTGACCTGCGTGTCCTGTTGATCCTTTAAACCAGTCCTTCTGCTGTCCATTCTTTGGTTGTGTAGAGCACTGTTCTCTTCCTATGCCGGGTAGGGTTGAGAAACAACAAGGAGGAGCGATGTGATAAATATTGAAGAGGTAATTTAATTGGACGAGAGATAGGAGGAAGTAAAATGACAACAAATGAACAGAAAATGAAGGTATGAAGAGATTACCCATGATACAAGAGGAGAGGAGGTGCGTTCTGCTGCATTGTAAGAGTTGGGAGATGTAATAAAAGGGTCCCCGAAAACATCCGGTGACTCGAGACCCACGTCCACCTCAGGGAGGGGGATCTGGGGCAACCCGGGCGGTCGGCCTAATACTGTGAGAGCTACATAAGAGCCGGCTGGGAAGAGAGCGACAGCAGTATGAATAAGAACATGTATATAATGAATAAATAGTAGTTTGTAAAAAGTATAAACTAGCTTTTATAAATAAGTATGAGCATCGAATAAATAAGCACAAGTATTTAAAGATTAAAATTTAGATCACCCTACAATAATTCCAAACCTTTATGAGTTTATTCAATTGAACACACAAAAAAGATGTTATGAATTGTTTGATTTCAAACATTTATCAAAATAACTTCTCTTGTGTTCAACCAAGGATAGAAAGTCAAACAGTTTTGTGACAAGTGAAGGATGAGTGAATGACGACGGAATATTCGTTATTCGTTATAACGCAACTATTACGTGAAGTATGGAGGATCAGAAGTGCCGGTTAGAAATAAAACAAAGAACTAAATGAGAATTTCTTAAACAGAAATTAGTTAAAGCTAATAAATCACTGACATTTGAGTCGCTTTGCTGATCATAAAATTCCCGCTAAAATGATCTACGGCTTTCTCTCTGTAAAATGACAGAGCGAGATTCATTGACAAGTGAGTAAGGGCTTAGCTTGACTTGAGGCGACAGTTGTTTGGTTGCTCCCATGTGTGAACTGTCCAATGGCATATTTAAACTCGATTTGTTTTTCAACTCGAGACATGCATGTAGCAAAAGAAGAAAAAAAAAGGCTAATAGAGAGAAATGCAATTTAAAACCAGAATTCAAATACATTTTAAATGATTACAAATATGCGTTTTTATTGTTTGATTAATCGGCATTTAAAACATAAATTAAATAAACAGCTATAAAATTGTCTTTATTTATACATTTAAAAGATATTTTTACATGCAATGTTTTATTGCTTTATTAAATTACATTTAAAAACACACACTTAAATATGTCAATTTATTTGTCCATTAATTGTTGATTTAAATTGTGGTTTATTTATATACATGTTCATGCTTTAAATTGATGATTCTTCATTTTACTTCTAACCGGCACTCCTGGTACTTCATGGTTAAATATTAGTATCTAAAAATATGTACTGCCATACAAAATAAGCAATAACACTTAATGAATAACTGCTAAATGAACAATTTTTGCTTTAGAAACTGAAATGCATATTGGTCGAGAAGGAATACTTGCTCTCAATGACAAAAACAACAACAACAACAACAACAACAACGACGAAAAACAATAGATCAACAGAACAGTTACTATCGAAATACATACTAGCATTGAATGAATAACTAATGTCTATTCATCTTAAAGTGGTTAATACTCACATTTGATTAACTTCACCACCTCAACATGGTTTGATTGCGTTACCAAGGTCCCGTTCACCTAAAAGTGAAGACATTAAATAAGCATTCAACTCTTAACTGCAAAAACTTTTATATGCAGGTTTTGCTTGTACACAAACACGAGGTCAGTGTGTAGCCAGCAGGTGGCAGAACAGACAGATGCACAAATGCAGTGGTGAACAGAGTGAAAGGCTGGGCAGTGAGGGAAACACAGTAAACAGAAAATAGTGTTTCATAGAGTAATCTGTGTGTGTCTCACCTTAATGATCCTGTCCCCCGTCTGAACACCTGCTCGCATGGCAGCGCCATCTATTGACAAAAAAATACGATTCATGGATTAACAAACTAAAGGTACTTTCTGGTGTGGTATGTGGTTGCCAAAGCTCTGTCTAGTTGCTAAGGGGGTACTGAGTGGCTTTTAGCACATTGCAATGTGGTTTGTGTGCTCTATTTGGACTGCAAACAAATAAGTTTTTGCTGTCATTCTGCAAATGATGAAGCCTCATGCATCTATTGTCTCATATAGACTCGTTTGTGGAAATTGATTTGGGCCAAATGAAAAAATTCAAAAATTGTGAAAACTCACAAAACTGAATAAAAAAGCACAATTTAGGAAAATAGATAGTCTTCAAATAGATTGTATTTTTATTACTTTATTCACTTTCACTTTTTATTCACTTTTTATTTACTTTACAGTTTTGCATGCTCTGCCATTGTTTTTGTTTTATACCAAAAATTTAGTTTGCACTTCACAAATAACATTGGCTGTTCTGGCACAGACCTTTTGTGGGGGCAGTGTACTCTGATATCTAAATCCATAGTCATTACCTACTGAGTATAATGTCAAAAAATTGTGAACAAAACAATTATAAGTGTAATAGGACACTATTATAGAGAATATTGCATATTAAATATGCATTATTTTCTGAACAAATTCCTTGCAGACTGAGATAAATAAATGTCTTCATTGCATTTCAAATGACATATGTTAACAATTTTCTACTGTTCAGACTTAATTTGAGTACTTTTGTGCAACTTTAAAATTGGTAAAGGCTATAAACCTGTCAGGGTTGAAAATATACTGACTGAAAACATGGATGTGTAGAAATTATTTAAGCCCAAGGAGGAATACCTCTGGACAATAGACTACACAGCCTTTAAAGGTATATCAACACATGTGCACTAGGAAGATTCATACTTTTTCAAAGTGTGTGCACTTTTTCTATGCAAAATGTATAAGATTTTGCCTGTTTGGTGAACCGTGGTGATTTAAGATAATTGGATCACATATAGATAAAGACAAATTCCAGTTTACATTTTATATTTAAATAGTTTCTATTGTCCCCTTTAGCCCCCCTATACTTGATAATTAAGTTACTAGGATCTTCAAAAAATAAGTACTAGTAGTACGAAAACCGAGATATAGCTCATTTTTTAGATTAAATATTAAAACTGCTTGCCAAATTCATCTACTATTTTGCAGTCTTTACTAGTTTGAAGTCTCCTCTGCTTCTTTTCTGAATGAGAAAAAACTGCCTTTTCGGTTAAAAATAAATCAATCAAAAACTAAATAAAATGGGCTTTGGCCGTATTGTGTTATAAATAAAATTCATGACGTGTATAGTGGACAAACGCTAGCAAGCATATAACATCTGAAGCAAACTTCAGGCTTTACAGTCTTTTTATTCAATATGTCTTTCACTATCCTTTGTGCATCCCTATAATTGGTTCTCTTTAGAACATAAACAGACAAGCTCCATTTCTGAGCAACAGTGAAGTTATATTAGCTCGAGGAGGGGGAGAGACACAGTGAAAGACATTCACAGTAGCTGATGGGCAAGACAGCAAGACAAACATGAGTTTTACCCTGTTTGACGAGCTGCACGAAAACAGGGTTGTCCCCACTGACGGTCAGCCCAAAGCCGTTCTCATCTTTCTGAATGATCACGCATCTCTGCACTAGCCCTGGAGAAAGAGAGACAGAATAAGAAGCAGGATTATTAGAAGAGAGCTATGAATCTGATTTTGCAAAAGAGAGCTATGAATAAGATTTTGTCTTTATTAAAGCATTCATCAGGACAGGCCTATCAAAGTAGATTAGAGTAACAATAACTCTAAAAGTGGATTAAAAATGTCAGTGTAAGTAAGTGCATACAGGCACACTCATAAAGTTCTTGGCAAATAAAATATCTGCAGAGATGTGAAATGAATGGTCTCCAATTAAAATCAAGCACCCTTTCCCAGAATAATAGAAAGACGTAGGAAATGATGAGAGATGTGGGTTATTGTGGTCATCTAATGTTACTAGCTTGAGAAATGGGCTTGCTTAGCTCATCCAATCATATCTGAAAACCGCAGTAGTCTTTATGACAGAAATGAGTAGAAAACTGCAGTGTAAACTGAGCAACCAAACACAAGAAGGAAAACCTAGATCTGTGTCTTCATGATGTCTTCTCACCTCTCAATTTTTTCAAAAAATGTTTTACAGGCTCTCATTTACCACAGAAAAAAATTCAGCCCCTTCATTTGAAAAAAGAAAACCGTATTTGCCAATGGACTTGGCTAATGATATCTAAAAGTCTAAATCATGATATATCAGTGATCTCAAATTTGAAAGACCAAACTAAACAATAAACAGAGTGTATATATATACAGGGCTGATAGTGGAAAAAATTCCTGAGCCTGAACTTTTTTTCCTTGCTGATGTTTTAATTTAAACGCATTTATTTTATGTATTCGTAGTCATACTTCCGTACGTAATATAGTCATTTGACAGTACATGTCAGTCAAATTTATTGTGGCATGCTTATGTATGCCAGTAATGTCAGTGACACATGCCAGTGTCAGTGATCTTGTGACATGTGCCAGTAGGTGTCAGTATAAGCACGTTATAAGCACATTAATCTTATAAGTCTCTTTGCTTTAATATTTAAAAATCATTAGGCAAATGACACCTGTTATCTTACATGCATATATGTTATGAGTTTTCAACATGCATTTTATTAAAACTTTTTAAAGGATATTATTTAAAATACCTTAAAATGAAAAAAAGTAAATAATAAAATAAATGAATGAATTAAAAACATAGAGAAGTCCATATTGTAGGGAACAAAGGAACTGCCAGGATGCAATAATATACAGTACAACAGATAAGTGTAACCCCTCCCATACATAAGCATGCCACAATAAATTTGACTGACATGTACTGTCAAATGCCTATATTACGTACGGAAGTATGACTACGAATACATAAAATAAATGCGTTTAAATTAAAACATCGTGGAGTAGCTCAGCAAATAAACTAACTTGCGACGCGATAAATTAGGTTAAAAGTCGCGTAATGATTAAATATGGTTTTGCTTGTGTTAATTAATGTCATAAGCTTCGCCGGGTGTCGATGTCACTGCAGTGACATGCAGCGCGACACTCTGAGTTACACAGGTCACTACACATGCCACTAGCGAGTGACACATGACAGTGGAAAACCGGACGTGCCACCGGAAGTGTCACTACACTCAGTGGCATGTGCCAGTGTCATCTGTACGTCAGATGTCGTGTCACTCCATGTTAAAACTGCTACTGTGAATCCGCGTTCACACAATAAGCTAAAACTCGCCCCAAGCACCGGCAAAAACAAATAACAATCAATGTGTCGAGGAAAGAGTAAGGACATATCTTAATTATTTATTAATAAACTTATTCTGAGTCAGTGTCGCAGATCCTGACTGGCAACCTTATTTTGGATTCGCCTTTACAGTGAAATTCATCTTTACGGATTACATGAAGGAGTTTTTTGTTTTCGATTTGTTTTATTTCGTTAAGTAATAATTTAAAGCTTTCTATAAATATATTTATTATGTCTGTGCGGCATATACATTTTGCTTCATTTTGTTAAGCTTCATTTTGTTAAGCTGTAAAAACCAGACGACAGAAAGCGCATAATTTTGGTTTTCTTTATTTTATAAAAACACTGTAACGTTTTTTGATGTATTACTCGTACTTTGTGAGCAAAAATGACGGATAACTTTATCCCACTGAAAAAATGCAAGTGATTGCTCTGGCGCCTCGATGTCCTGCAAGCTTTTTATAAGCAAACTATGCGCCTAATAGCACACATTCTTTAACATTTAAGCTACCATTGTTTTATACTTGAACTGTTTTATATCTTTTATTTTAGGCAAGTCGTGATGATCTGAGAAGGCAAACTGATCAAACAGACAATGATGGTCTTCCGCTGGGCGCTGTTCGTTAAAAAAACAAAAAAAAACTTATTTTTAATAAATAAAAAATGCTCCAAACGTTTTAAATAAGCTGAATAAAAACGAAACTAAATATAAACACTTTGCCATTAGGCTACATACAAAACTGAACTATTTTATAGCTGAAACACTAAGTTGTTTAAGGAGAAGGGGGAAATATATTTTTGTCCCGTCTATTGCTTCACCGTTATTTCGAGAATAAACCCAGCGTAAATATGCAGATGCCATTCCCAAAACATATCAGCGTATATGTGCCGAAAACGAAAGTTTCATACAAATTCTGAATGGATTATAGCCTGGAAAGTGCACAGCACGCTCCTCTTATTATCACTAAAAAGCGTCACTAATCTTAGTTCATAGAGATCTCACAGAGATTCGTTATAATTTATAAAGCTCTCTAAATTACACAATCTTTTATTTACATGGCGTCTACACTCAATAGATGATTTACGAGCACACAAAATGGCACTTAATAAAAACCAGTCCGGCGCTTTCAGCAGTGAGTGAATTCTGTGAATCTAGAGAAATGACAGATCAATATCCGTGAACCTGATTTTTTTTTTCCCCGCAGCCACATTACGCCGGAAATCCGGCGTGGTGCCGGAACGCTATCACCCCTGTATATATATATATATATATATATATATATATATATATATATATATATATATAGTCAACCCCTAGGGTATGAATAATTTCAGCCTTGACTATGTATGATTTACTTAATTATATATTACATATTGTCATAGTAAATACAGTACAGCTAAACAGCTAAATAGCCTGGGGTCTTTAGGGTTCTTTTTTTTTAATTGAGAATAAATACAAGGAAAGCAAAAGGAAGAGGAAAGACACCAAGAGGAGGAAAGAGGAAAGATATTTATTGTGTTCTAAAAGATTCTATATCAAATAAATGCTCAGAATTTCTCCACAAACACCTTATAAAATTCCTTAATCACAGTTTGCATAAAAATATGAAGCTTTCATCAACACTGACAAAAAAAGGATTATAGTGCACGATATCACATGGAATTTTCACATTTAGTTTTCATTTTAACAATTTAAGATGAAACATGAGTCATTCATGAAACATGAGTAAATCACTCGTAAATCTGTTCTGATATAAATTTTTGGATTCATGAAAGTTCATGAAAAATTGCTGGTTGCTGCAAATTTTAGATTCTGTGACATTATTCAAAATGAAATAGTAGTAAATAGGCATGGAACGATAAAAGGTTTCAAGATTAAGATTTTAGTGGTTTGGAAAAAGTCTAGGTTTTAAAACCATTAAAAAACTCTGTGCCACAAACTCAATATTATTTACAACTTTATTACCCGTTACTCACAGCAGGTTCTGTTCACTAAAGGAGACTCTACAGCTCACGGTCAGCAGCTCACGTCACGTGTGATTTCCTGGCCGCGAATACAACATTATATGAAGACAAAAATGACATTTTTAGTTTAATTATACCTTATTAATACAGTATGTGACTCATTCAACATCATTTGGAGGTGTCCATGTCGCAAAGCAATGTATGTGCAAGAATGAAAAGACTCGTGCAGCCGCCTTTTCTTCTCTCCTGAACTTGAAAATATGATTGACAGAATCGTAGAAATGCTGGATTAAGATCGTCTAGGGGGTTGAATCGAGATCGCGATCTTTTTACGATTAATTGTGCAGCTCTAATATATATATATATATATATATATATATATATTAGCGCTGTCAAAATTAACGCGTTAACGCATGCGATTAATTTTAAATAATTAACGCGTTAAAAAAAATTTACGCAATTAACGCAGTTCAGAATTTTTTTACTTCCTGTTGTGGTGGACGTGTGTTCAGCATGCAATAAATGTGGATAAGACCAAGGAAGCACTTTTTGAAGGCAAGTTCCAGTATAAAACAATTAGTTGCATCACAAGTTATCCAGAGTTTCATGCAATTTCGGGTGTTTAATTTTTAACTTTCGACATCTGTTGTAAGTTGATACCGCATGGCGAACAGAAAGAAAATCCTCCGCATTTCGTGACTCGGTGTTCCTTTAAGGTAAGGTTCCTTTTAAGGCTACACGGTAGAATTAATAAGAGTATTATCTTAATCATATTAAAATCGGAGTATTGGTGTCTTATGTAAATGTACTCAGAACCTCTGGTGAAGTCGCGAGCAGTCAAAGACAGGGCATTACTCTGCCTTTCAGCATGAGCCCTCCAAGTTTAGCATGTTTCCTCATTAAACGCAACGAAAGCGTATGCTTCGCGTTGTTGTGTCAGAATCCTTGTGAAATACAGTAATACTTGGGACGCTTAGTTTAAGCAAATTTGATGAATGTGATCATGCGTGTTGAATCTGAGGGGAGTCGCTCCAGTATGGAAGGCCGTTGGGGCCAAAACGTCTGCAGCGCGTTGTTTGTGTCTGTCTGTGTGTGTGTCTGTGTCAGGCCCGTTGAGGGGTGTCAGGGGTGGAGTAAGCGACGTATCTGAGTAGGGGCGAGAGGGGTGTGCAATGTATTTAACGACCGGTTTGCAAGAAATTATCATTCATTTGGGGGCATTTGAGAGTCTCTGTGCACTTGCAGAATACTCCTAGTCTTAGCAACTGGATGAATGTAAAGGAGGATTAAGCAAAATTGTTTCTACTCTATAATTAATGTTCTCAACTTACAGCAATAAAACTTTACAATGAGTGCAACAGTTCGTATTCTATAGTTTTTATTATAATTTTTCATTTTCCATATCTGCAATTCCTGTATTTTGGCATTTTTTTGCAGTCCACTTAGAATCCAACATGGAAATCAATGTTTTCTTTATTGGCATTGATTGTTTTGAAATTTAAATGTCATTAACATGCCTGTGTTTTAATTTCTGTAATAAATATGGCTGTCAAGCCAGGATCTTGATGGTTTATTTTGGGTATGTTGTTTACATGAAGAAATCTGTGTTACAAGTTAAACAAAAATTCTATTAAACAATTATATTTTGAATTTAAATATTTTTTTCTTGCGTTTAGTTTGATTTTACATTTAAATAGGCAAAATTACAAGTTTGAGTATTTTAAATGCGATTAATCGCGATTAATTTTTTTAAAAGGTGCGATTAATTAGTTAATTTTTTTAATCGATTGACAGCACTAATATATATATATATATATATATATATATATATATATATATATATATATATTTTTTATTTTTTTTTTTTACAATCCATATATTAAAATAATAAAACATAAGCGTTATCAAAGCAGAAAACCAGGCTAAATTTATCCTGTCCATACACTTTGCATTTCAAACGCCTCAGGCAAGCAGCAATTAATTTTTTTGAATTTTAATGCAAAGATGATGCATATAAATGTACAAATGTTTTTTTTTTTTTCAAAATATTAAAAACTTTCAAGGATTTAAGATTATGACAACCGTTAAAAACGTCATAGCAGTCTTGTGAAAAGGGTCCATCTGTGGATTACAAATTATCACAGCAGCCAAAGTACCACCAAACGATGTGCCACCAAAGTGTCACCAGCTGCATGTTTATTGAAATTTTTTTTTTAGGCATATGACCTATTTGTTATTCCTAATTTCATGAAATATACTGAAGCAAAACCTTATGCTTTGTTTACACCAGACGCTGATGAAGCGCCAAGCACAAGTGATTTACATGTTAAGTCAATGTAAAACATGAATAGACATTCGGCGACTCGATTCGCGAAAATGACGTGATTTGAAATTTGAAGTTAAAAAGTTTGAGTTGAAAAATATGAACTTCAAAGGACATTCGGGCCATGTTAACCAATCATGAGCTTGCTCTTGTAAGGGTGTGAATATGATGTAATGCCTGTTGTTGGTTTACCAAGGGGAAACTCTCTTGGCGACACCGGACAAGCTCAACCTGGGCTCGGCTCAGTTTTAAGCACAGCTGGAAGCCTCCATCATTCAGGTATAGTTTCTGGAGGAGTTTATGAACCCAAATAGCTGGGTGCACCTCTGAAAGGATCTAGTTCATTCAGACATAATGCCGAATGAACCTATGCTGTTTGTCAGCCTTCCTAAAGCAAATAAACACAGCTATTCTCTTAATAAAATCCATGTTAGCCATTTAGCAACAAAGCTAGAGTCACTGGGTAGAAAGAAGCCGCACACATGACGCGAATCCGTGTCTATCGTGAAGTGAATTTGATCTGCAAATGAAATGAATTTGCTGCATCTGGTCTGGTGTACACAGCACCAGAAGAAAGGCAGTCCAAAATATTCTAACGCGTTCATAGACACTTAATTTACATTGTAGACGTTTATAGGTAGGGCTTATGCTAATTTCAGTTGAGCATGCATCCTATTTACAAATGTTTAGAATTCAGAAACATTTAACTCTCAAATCGGATTTGTTTTGTGAATCTGAAGGAAAGTGTTGGGAAGGTTTGTGTTAGGTGGAATTTACTTTAATATTTACAAATGTTTCATGAATGAGGCCCTCTTACTGTACTTTAACAATATTTGTAATCATAAAAATAATTCACATTCACAGCATTAGAGTTTGAGTAACTTTTGAACCATAAAGTAAAACAAGAGTAGTTCCATTTTTCCCCACTTCATTTTCCAATACAAAAAAAGACTATTTTAAAAAATAGCGCAAGGCATGTATAAAGTCATCAACTATCTTTCTGAATTTGTACCTCTTGACTGAGCCAACAAAGTAAACACGATCATTTATAATCAAATAAAATGCACACAGTCCAACATCAACTCAGCACTAAAGCTACATTTAAATGCTGACAGTACTCAAACTTCACAGTATTGGAGAAACAACACAGCAACATTTCAATCATCTTACCACAAGACTCAGGTCTCCTGTCAGCCACTACACATCCACTCTTCTGCACCAGCACGTCTGAGCAACACAACACCATGATACAAAAGACACACACACACACACATCACAGAGGACACAAAGAGAGGACTCCAATGAAAAAATGAGCAATGGCACAAGTACACAAAGTATGGCTGTTTTGGAGTGGATTGTTGTCTATAGATAAGAAATTAATTCCCAAAGGTCTGTTATTTTAACAAATGATATAAGATGTTTAAGTATTAGTTTTCCAGGTGTTAACCCAGAAACTAATGCACATTTAAATGGTTACAAAACATTTAATTTGGTTTTATTTAGGTTTCATAAGCATATAACATATAATAATAACACAATAGAGCAAATTGTGAGCTTGATTAGTTCAGGCTACTTATATTCTCAACAAAACAAATATGTAATCAGTACTATTGTTTAATAGGACCCTTAGGATCTGAAACAACGGTTTGCATCATTGTTAGGCCTATACAACTTTATAATTCAATCACACAAAAGAGCCACACTTCTCAGACAGTCCAAAAGAGATACTGGAAAGAAACTAGGGCTGAGCAATATATCTTGATACTCTCTAATAATCTGTGTGCTGCATTAATATGAAGGATTTTGCAGGTGTTTTTCCCACAGATTTTCAATTATGCGTAGTGTAATTTACACAAAAGCAAAAAAAGAGTTAGAGCAGAGATATTTTATCTCTGAGTGAAACCTAAATCTCTGATTCAGCTTGGGTGCTTTCATTTGTCTGGAATAATGTTATTTAAATTTTCATGTAGTAAAATGCTTTCTAAAACTATACTATTAACTTGTTAACTATTTTATAAAATAATAATAATAAATCAAACTTTAGATGTATCCATTATAAAGTTGTCAGAATATAATAGAATTGAACTGAATAAAATTAAATGTACCTAAAGTACAACAGAGCAATTGAACCTTGCCATGATAGAAATTAAGTTTTTACCAAATTAGCGAAAATCCTTTCAGGTTGTTTGTGTATGCTCATATTTTCCAGTTCTGTACAAATACTCACAAAGTCTCCGTGTCAACGTTTTCAAACCAAGTCAGAGAATTGAAATTCCACATCTGTTACATCCTCAACGAAGAGATGTCATATCCATAACAAAGCTTTTTCCTTATAAATGCATGTGATTGTAAAATAAAAAACAAGTTTTATTGTTTTATAGAGAGATAGCTCATATTTATTAGATTAGCATTATTTCTTTTTGGGTTGTGCAGTCTAATTTTAAAAATTCTATAAATTACTTTTTTAATGTGAATTCACATACCTTTGTGGTCACATTCATAACTCGTTTATTTCTCTTATCGTTTACATACAAAGTTTTTAGTTCCCTCAATTCTGTGATTAGTTGTTTTGAGAAATATAAAGAGACTTTATTTCAATATACTTTTAACATATAAATCCTCCGTGAATTGAAGTTTTAAGTTTGTACTGCAAATGTCCCATACATAACACTGGAATCGGTCAGTTTATGATCCACGGTGAACATGAAACTTTTTAAAAACCATTAAACCAGTTAAATAGAATTTAACCAACTCTATATTTTTGATCAATATTGTGCATACATTACATATAAAATGCCACATCAATAAACATCACTATTTTAAACTTGATTCTAACTTTTTCCTTTTATTTTGGCTTTAAACACATGATATATCTCAAAAAACTATATTTGTAGCTATATTGCCCAGCCCTAGAGGACAGTGAACGTCACACCATGGTTAGGATAATAATAATAATAATAATAAACTTTATTTGTATAGCACTTTTCCAACATACATGCAACTCAAAGTGCCTCACAAACAACAACAAAAGCAATTAAAATAGACCACAAAAACTTATCACATATACTGAAATAAAAACATTCATGTACACAAAATGTAAGTGTATATTCACATGATCACACACACAATAGTCCTTACATATGCAGGCACACACCATACATTACATACATAAACCTACAACAAAATAGATAAAATGCGTACACCTAACAGACTTGTTTAATCATACGCAATTTTAAAAAGATGTGTCTTAACACGCTTTTTAAAAACATGAATACTTGGTGATTCTTTCACTTCAAGGGGGAGACAGTTCCAAATTTTTGGAGCATAATGGCTAAAAGAAGTGCCGCCAGATCGCCTCAGATTTACAGGGTAAAATTCTAAAAGTCCAGCACTAGAAGAGCGTAGAAAACGGTTTGGATTATATTTTGTTAAACAGTCGGAAATGTAGGAAGGTGTCATATTGTGTAGTGCTTTAAAAACTAATAAAAGAATCTTAAAATCTATCCTTTGGTGCACAGGCAACCAGTGTAATTCTATTAATACTGGTGTAATGTGTTCTCGTTTCTTCAATTTCATTAAAACTCTGGCTGCTGCATTTTGTATCAATTGCAACTTCATTGTAGAACCCTTAGGTAGACCAGTATAGATAGCATTGCAATAATCAAGCCGAGAGAAAATAAAAGCATGAATTAATTTCTTGGCATCATCAAAAGATAGGAAAGAACGAATTTTGGCAACATTTCGTAAATGATAAAAACATGTTTTTGTAACTTGATTAATATGAGATTTAAAACTAAGATCACAATCGAAAATAACACCCAGGTTCTTTAATTCTTTTTTTGATTGTAAACCTAAAGAACACAGTTCTGCTTCAATCCTCTCTCGCTCAAGTTTTTTGCCCACAATTAGAATTTCTGTTTTATCTTTATTCAACTTTAAAAAATTTGCAGTCATCCATTGCACAGTATTGGACATGCAGTTGGACAAATTTTCCAATGCAGTTGTGTCTCTTGGCTCAACAGAAATATATAATTGTATGTCATCAGCATAAAGATGATAATTCATGCCATATTTCTGAATTATACTACCTAAAGGAAGTATATATAATAAAAATAGACTTGGGCCTAGGATAGATCCCTGAGGAACACCATATAATATATTGTGTTCTTGCGATGTATATTCATCTATATTTACTAAGAATGTCCTTTCTGTGACATATGTATTGAACCAATTTAAAACTATCCCAGAGAGACCTACAAGTTTTTCCAGTCTGTTAATCAAAATGCAATGATCAACCGTGTCGAATGCTGCACTTAAATCTAGAAGAATTAAAACTGATGCATTACCTTTATCTATGTTTAAGCGCATATCATTAACTACTTTCAATAATGCTGTTTCTGTACTATGACCTTTTCTAAAACCTGACTGATATTTTTCCCAAATTTTATGCTCATCTAAAAATTGATTGAGCTGTAGCAATACAACTTTTTCTAAAATCTTACTAAAAAATGTAACATTAGAAATTGGTCTGTAATTATTTAAAACTGTGGAGTCCAAATTTGTTTTTTTTAAAAGTGGCTTTACCACAGCTTTTTTAAAAGCATTAGGAAAAATTCCTGTCATTAATGAATCATTTACTATGTCAAGGACATAGTCAATCAAGCAATTTGAAACCTTTTTAAAAAAAAAAAAAAAAAAAAAAAAAAAAAAAAAATGGTTAAGGATGGTTAAGTCATGCATCAGAAGAGGAGAGTCCAACACCAGAGAAACATCCGAAATAAACATGCACATCACATCCTCCCTTCACCACTGTTCCCTCTAACACACATGTGAAAATCAGACATTTATGTGAGGTCAAACCACAAACAATAAATCTAAAACTGCGTCAGAATGGCTCAGAAATCTTCAAAAAGAAGATGATGTACTTCTGTCATCTTCATACACTCTGCTATTTTCCAATCCAACTGGAAAACGCCGCCTCATCCTAACCATGTGAATCGTATATTAATTGATACGATTAGCACATTGTTCTCCACCATAAACGTCCCATTAACGGCCAGGCACAGGACTGCTTTTCCTTCTCTACTCTTACCGGCAGCTGAGAGAGAAAACAGAGGCCGAACTTGAAAGAAAAACACACTGACAATGTCTTTCAACTGCCAAAAGCGAGGCCAGGAACATGTGCATCGTTTATGGTCAGCAAGTATGAATCATGCCGCTGTTTAAAGCCGCTCCACTGCAGTTAGTGGACGGGCACAGCCTTCCATCTGTGCTGTTTGTGGAGGAAACTGTTTCCATTTTGGAGTCTGAAGAGACTGTGTGCTTCAGTCCACACCACATGCGCGCACACAGCTAAACACTACGATTCTGTATGAGTAGAGAAAGTAAGCGAGAGTGAGAAAGAAACTGTCGAACGTCACTTACCTGTTGGGTCAAACTCGTGTGTTGGGGTACCGGGCAGCTTATCACTTTTGGGCCTCTTGTCGGGAGGGTGGTCTCTGCTGAGAAAGCTACTGGTTCTGTGAACACAAAATGGAAAAAATCAATGTAGGTCAATGAAATACATTAACACCCTGCAATGAGCACAAAACAAAAATGGGACACATCCTGATGTGGTGGAAGATGTTAGATAGGCAAACTATTACATATAGTTACCAAAAGGCAACTACTCAACTAAAGGCTAAAAGTTAGCAAGATTAAGCTAATGCTAGCATGGATATGCCAATTAAGAAACACATTGAAGAAAACAATGCAAGGTCCTTTTGAGAGATGTTAGTTCACTCTGCAGTAGAGCTGCACAATTAATCATAAAAAGATCGCGATCTCGATTCGACCCACCAGGACGATCTTAATCCAGCATTTCTACGATTCTGTCAATAATATTTTCAAGTTCAGGAGAGAAGCAATGGTGGCCGCACAAGTCTTCAAATTGTTTTACATACGTTGTTCAGCAACATTGACACCTCTGAATAGTGTTAAAAAGAGTCACATACTGTATTTAGAAGATATAATTCACCCCAAAAATGTCATTTCTGTCTTCATGTAATGTATTTGCGACCGCAAAATCACACGTGAATAACAGCTAATAAAGTTGTAAATAACTTTCAGTTTGTGGCACAGAGTGATCGTTTGGGGGCCGCGCGGGAAGTGAACCACTCTTAGCAGTGAAAATGAAACCGAAAGCGCACACTGTGCTGCCAGATGTAGCTGACTGATTCCAGCTCAAAAAGTATCCAAAACCCACCGAAATGCAGAAATAACCACCCAGTCTTCTGTATTCATGAAAATCAGGTCAGTGACAGATTTTAAGCAGAAAATTACAGATTGTAAACATATGTCTCAAACACAATGATTCAACATCAGAATTATCATCAGCATTAATGACTAGGCCAAATCTGTCTGTTCAAGTCCACCATTCAAAATCTATACAAAATTGAGCATTTTAACCAACAGCACAGCTACACAAAGCCTATTGCTGTTTTACCACATGTTTGAAAATAACAATAATAATAGCCCACTCATATTAACCTTTATTTTATATCTACAGAATCGTGAGAAAATTGTGATCTTTATTTTAGGCTAAAAATAAATAAATAAAATTTTTAAAAAAATAAAAATTTGCGATTCTCATTTTAGCCAGAATCGTGCAGCTCTACTCTGCAGCCAAATTGGACAAAATTCTAGGCAGCCATTTTCAGACAATCAAGTGCAGCTTTTGTATATTTTAATAAAATAAGATGAACATTATCAAAAAAGTGCTTGATATTACACATCCAATACGTTACAAATTGTCTCCAAAAATATAAAACTGTAATAGATTCTGTGATAACTGCAAATAAATTGCAAAATAATACTTCATAATATTACTGTTTTTACTGTACTTTTGAACAAATAAATGCAGCCTTGATGAACATGAGATGTTTTAAAAAATTAAACCAATCTTAAAAATGTCTCCAGGTCCAAACATCAGAACGATAGTTTATATAAATTAAAAAGTATAAATGCCAAACAAATAAATAAATATTATTATTATTTTTAACTTGATATTTACTTTCTTTGATTTAATTAAATACTTACTACTGCACAATGAATTGAAAAAAAAGATAAAAAAGAAACAAAAAACATTTATACATTGTAACTTCATTAACCAACTAAAAAAGTGGTTAATTGTATAAATGGTAAAAAAAGATAACTAAAAATAACAAATGGGCGGAACAGTTGTGCTGTGAGTAGCACGATCGCCTCACAGCAAGAAGGTCCTTGGTTCGAGCCCCAGCTGGGTCAGTTGACATTTCTGTGTGGAGTTTGCATGTTCTCCCTGTGTTCGTGTGGGTTTCCTCCGGGTGCTCCGGGTGAATTGGATTAGCTAAACTGTCCGTAGTATATGAGTGTGTGTGAATGACTGATATATAAATGAGTGCATGGAATGAATAAAGTTTATGGAATGAATGAATGAATGAATGTATGTTTGTTTCCCAGTGATGGGTTGCCGCTGGAAAGAGCATCCGCTGCGCAAATCATATGGTAGATAAGTTGGCAGTTTATTCTGCTATGGCGACCCCAGATTAATAAAGGGACGAAGCCAAAAAGAAAATGAATAAATGAAAAATAACAAATTTCAATATTATTGCACTGCAAAAAACTATCATCCTTATGTACAAAAAATACTATTTATACTATTAGATTTTGTAATTCAAAATTTCAATAAATTATTATTTTCTTTATAAGCGATTAGCCTAAACCAGAGGTGTCCAAACTCAGTCCTGGAGGGCTGCATATTTCAGTTCTAACCCCGATTAATCAAGCTAATCAAACTCTTTCTAGGTATACTGGAAACTTCCAGGCAGGAAGGACTTTGGACACCCCTGGCCTAAACCATTTTACATGTCATGTTCAGTAACCACTTGATGTTTATTTTAATCCACACACAAATGCTTAGATGACAAATCTGTACAAAAAACTAAACATTTTTCTATGCTTTTAGAATACCGGTTTCAAAAACTTTTTGATTTCTATTTTGTGTTTACATGGACCCTAATAATCTGAATTTAATACAATATAAACAACACTCTGATTAAGATTCTACCAAGCAAACAGTGATTATTGATGACCTTAATCCGTCTAAAATCAAACTAAACAGAAATGGAATTAAGACGTGGAGTAGGCCGATTTTAGTCGCATTTTAGAAGTGCAGTACAGACATGTAAACAGAAACACCTTAATCAAACTATTACTGTTGTGTAGGACACATGGCTGTTTGACTCTATAGAGTCAGTGAAGGACCACAGACACCTGCATCGTGAAATGCTTAGGTTTTTTTCCCCCCATACAGTGTGCTGCATCAAATTCCATTATAACAACACTCTTCCAGCAGTTCATAATCGCATCCAATATCTCCTTTGCCACAGGGGCATGCATGAAATGTTCCTGAATGAAAGTGAGAGAGCCAAACTGCAGTTAAAGTCGACAAAATAAAAATTAAACGGCTGAAATTACACGTAACTCTGTAGAAAATGTGGATAACATGGTGGAGCAATGACGTTAATAGAATTATGAATTTTGAACATTCGAAAAGCAACTCATGTAAACACCATCACATTATTGTCCTATTCAGATTAAGGCAAATACTTCGATTACTGATGTCCATGTAAACGTAGTCAGTGTCAAAATCAAGTAAATAAACTACCAAAACACATAAGCTGTATACCTTTTATTTGACAATATGTAAAATGTAAATGTAAATGTAAAAGTTCCAAAAAGCCATAACAATTCAGATCGGTGACTGACTAATACCTCCACATTTAACCATGTTTATTAATTAATCCTTTATAAAACTTGCTATAAAATAAGTACTCATTTAACAGAAGCGATTTTACATCTCACAATCCATCATAAATATGCAACATGTATTTATACCCCCTTCTCAAAATCTCATATTGTCAGTCATTAATTCAAACCAGCTTTAAGTGCGCTGACTGATAGCACAGCGTATTGTGTAGCACAGAGTGTCCTCTTGCTGTGTGCAATCACTGTTTACTTAGTTAACTTCCCGCTAGGACAACAGATGTGCCCCACCGCGCTAATGTAGCCCTATTCATAACACACGCCAATTAAGAGGCTCCACGTGAATCCTGCAGCTTCTCTATCAAAAAAGCGAGTGGAAAAGCCCGCGTACAGCAGTCTGACTCCAGGTCTTAAAAGTAGCCACGGTGAGGTGAGGTGGGAAAAGCGTGTTAAACAGGGCTCTGCTTCCCGCTCACAGGCTGTGTGAGAAGCCTCTGTTCTCCAGGCCAGCCAGTGATGGGACACACCGTGCTGAAGAAGCCCTTTGTAGGCCTGTCTGACAGTGTTGAACTGAGAGCCACTGTACTAACATCCTCCTGCCATTTCTCTCACCTGTTGGGCCTGATGATTTCCGCAACTCTGAAACCGTGGACAGAATTGCAGAATCATAATTATGGAATAATATAAACATACAAGTATGGGTTGTTTTTTCTGAATGCTACTTTATTGTAGAAGTAGTCCACATTTCTTCCATCTCTTCATTCACCTGAGCAAACGACAAACTGACCAACCACAGAGCTTGCACTACGTGTCGTCGAGGCATGTAGTTACATTTATTGAGGTTATTTATTATAGTTACATTTTATATGTGCGTGAATGTGCCCACGCAATGGCTGTGCAGCACCATACTTGTGTGCTTGACCCAGAAGTATAAATCAGCCTTAACGAAGGGAAGTCACGTGACTCCACACGCGATAGGGAAAGTAATAAAAAAATTAAAAAAAAGTTGACCTGGAACCATTTCAATTAACTGCCCAGCCCTACAAGATGTACATTTTCCGTAGGCTGGGTGGTTTCTAACACATATAGCATGTGGTTAGCATGATGCTAACAAAATTGGTAATACTTACATAAGTAGCATACTACTAGCATGATGTTAACACGATAAAAAAATTTACTATGATGGCAAAATAATTAGTGTGTTGCTAGTATTACGTTAAGATTACGTTAAAATAATGCTATAAACATGCTGATCACGCTAACATCAAGTTTAACAATCTGTTAACAATTTGATAATGCTAAGAATTATCATAAAACTAACGGCATGCTAATCATGTTAGCATTAAAATGAACATGTTGTTAATAGTCATCAAGTATTTAACAATATCCCATCAAGATTAGCATTAAACTAATACTTCACGTTACCATGTTAAAACAGTGGTGTTACAATGATGGAAAATTAACTTGCTAGCATTACATGAAGATGATTAGGATGCTAATCATGCTAACATCATGTTTAACAATTTGCTAAAATGGTAACAAAATTATAATTTAATTGACAATGGTAATAATTATCACACAGCTAATAACATACTAATCATATTAGCGTCACAGTTAACATGTTGTTAATATAATACATCAAGTATTTAACAATATCCCATCAAGATTAGCGTTAAACTAACACGTTACCATATTTAAACAGTGATGTTGTGTTACAATGTCGCCAAATAAATAA